CGGGAAGTAACAATCGCCCTCACAATCCGAAATGCACACGAAACCTCTCTATTACTCACTCATCTTTGTCTTCATCTTCATCTCTATCATCTTGCCTTCCTTCCACTGATGCAACTCCTCGACTTGATAGCTCTCCACTTCCTCTCCACTCTGCGTCCACTAAAAACGATGGAAGCCAAAAAACCACCACCGACAGCCTCTTAAAGCCGCGCCACCAATTTCATATAGGAGCTCTTAATGTTAGGACACTTTGCCAAATAGGACAACAAGCATCACTAGCCAAGACCCTGGCATCACGAGCCATTGATGTATGTTGTGTTTCAGAAACACGCATACAAGACCCAAGTGTGGTTATTCACCTAACCCCACCTGGCCAACAGGTTGAATCTGCAAAATTCACCTTGAGGGTGTCAGGAGATGCCACAGCTAGTTCACGAGGATTAGCTGGCGTAGGGATAGCTTTGAGTACTAGGGCAGAAAAGACATTGCTTGACTGGATCCCGGTAGATAGCCGAATGTGTGCTGTCCGCCTGAACGGATCAGTAAGAAGGAGGAAGGACTGCACTACTCGCCGATGCCTTTTCGTAATCTCCGCCTACGCCCCCACTGACTGCAGTTCAGATGAAACGAAGGATGAGTTCTACCAAAAGCTGTCTAGTTTGGTGAGAAAGGCTAAACGCTCAGACATAGTCGTTCTAGCTGGTGACTTTAACGCTCAAGTAGGGAAATTGTGTCAATCTGAGAAGGATGTCGGTGGCACCTATGGAGTTCCGTGCCAGCGAACCGACAACGGTGACCGTCTCCTACAGTTCTGCTCTGATAATCATTTGTTTCTTGTAAGCACTAACTTCAAACACAAGGAGAGACACTGTTTGACTTGGAGACCCCCTTCATCAAACCAACGCTGGACACAAATAGACCACATAGCAATAAGCTATCGTTGGCGTGGGTCGGTAGGAGATTGTCGCTCCTTCTGGAACACGTGCGTAGATACCGACCATGCACTGGTCCGCGCTCGTGTGTGCTTACGACTGAACGGACGTAGGAAACAGCTGGCGGTAAAACCATCACGTCCCCAGCTCGATCAGGAAACTAAATCCGTATTTGAGGAAGAACTAGCTAAACACATATCTGTGTTCGACAGCTGTGCTCACCCTGAAGAAGCTTGGAAAAATATCCAGGCAGCCATAGATACAGCTGTAAAAGCTGTGAATAAGGTAAACCCAAAGGTGAGTAAAAACCACTGGATCTCCACCGCCTCATCCGAACTGATAGATGCTAGAAGACTTATTCCGGCGAGCTCCGAATTCAATGAGGAGCGAAAGCTGCACAAGAGGAAACTTACGAAAAGTCTCCGCAAGGACCGTGAACAGTGGTGGGCGACAAAAGCCAAAGAGATGGAGAAAGCTTCGAGGATAGGCAACACCAGGCAACTCTTTGGACTCATCAGGGAAACGGGTGGGAGAAGACAAATCATTAGTGAGACAATCTCGGAAAAAAATGGCACTATAATTAGCTCACAGGATAGACGACTGGATCGTTGGAAAGAGCATTATGAGGAGCAGTTTAATTTGCCCACAGCCACGCTCAACCTTCCGAGCATCCAACACCTCCCTGAATGGGATATAGATACAGGTCCTCCGTCACTAACTGAGGTTACTAAAGCTGTCACCAATCTGAAACTAGGCAAAGCAGCGGGACCTGATGGAATGACTCCAGAGGTATTTAAGTACGGTGGAGACAGCTTACTGTCCGGATTAACTGAGGTACTAGGCAGCGTCTGGGAATCAGAAGAAGTCCCATCGGGTTGGTGTAAGTCACTGATTATCCCCATATACAAGAAGGGAGACAAGTCTTCCTGTGATAATCACAGAGGGATTAGCTTGACTAATATAGTATCTAAAGTCTTAGGCTCAATAATCATGCGTAGACTGAGTGGTGCTCGGGAAGCACAAACACGAGAGAGCCAGGCAGGCTTTAGACCAGGAAGAGGGTGTATTGATCATATCTTCACCCTCCGACAGATTCTAGAACATAGGCATTCCTACCGGCGTCCAACAGTCATTATATTTCTTGACCTAAAGGCAGCATTCGACTCTGTCGATCGGGAAGTTCTCTGGAGATGCTTGGCTGTAAAGGGAATTCCGAGAAAATATATTGCACTGATTAAGGCACTCTATTCGTACTCATACAGCCAGGTGAGGGCTTACGGCGAGCTGTCATCTGAACTGATGACGACCAGTGGTGTCCGTCAAGGATGCCCATTATCTCCTTTTCTATTCAACTTCATCATAGATGTGTTAATGGACTTAACCCTAGGTGACTTCAGCGATTCAGGGATTGACTTGCTACCTGGGAATAATCTCGTTGACTTGGAATATGCAGACGATATAGTCCTTCTAGGCGAAGACGCTGACGAAATGCAGAGTCTTCTAAACACCTTGAACAGCAATCTACGAATGTTTGGCATGCGATTCGCTCCCGCCAAATGCAAGATGATGTTACAGGACTGGACTACGCTGGCTCCTAGTTTAAAAATAGGAAGTGAAGTGGTAGAGCACGTTGACCGCTTCACTTATTTGGGAAGTACCATCAGCCCCAACGGGCTGATCTCTGACGAAATCTCAGCACGAATACAAGGGGCTCGTTTCGCATTTGTTAGTTTACGCCGACTCTGGCGTAGACGAGATGTTCGACTATCGACCAAAGGGCGGGTGTACTGCTCATCAGTCCGCTCCGTCCTCCTTTATGGTTGTGAGACCTGGCCACTCAGAGTGGAAGACATGAAAAGACTAGCTGTCTTTGATCATAGGTGCCTGCGTTCTATATCCCGTGTAAAGTGGCATAATAAGGTGAGCAACATGGAGGTTAGGCGTAGAGTCCTAGGTAAACAGGGGAAATCAATCGACGAAGTCGTGAAGCTACATCGACTGAGATGGTTAGGACATGTGTTACGTATGCCAAGCCATCGCCTCCCTCGACGAGCAATGTTAGCGGATATAGGGTCAGGCTGGAAAAAAGCTAGCGGCGGTCAAACAAAAACTTGGCATCAGTCAATGAAATCCACAACAGTTGGTCTTAGCCACGTAGGAAGGTGTAGACTTCCAGGCTGGGGTCCTCGGGACGGCAAAAATCTATGGTTGGAAACAATTGGTGACATGGCTCAAAATCGTTCTCAGTGGCGCAGATGCATCCACTCCCTGTGACTTATGATCTCCAATGAAACTGTTTTGTATTTCTTTATTACTCCTTTGTCTCACACCTCTGCTCACTGTTTCTATTTGCTTTTCTTGTACTTTCTTCTCTTGCTTCGCGTGCTACACGGAATGTGGCGACTTGAACTTCCGCACATTTGTGCAAAGTTCTATGTCGAAAACAGACAGACAGACAGACAAAGGAGAAAAACGATGTTCCCGCAGCTCCATCTTAGAACATCTGATAGAATCCGGACACCAAGCTACACCCCAAACAAACTTAAAAGTCGTCTACAGAGTAAGAAGTAGTCTTCCTGAAAGTATACGAATCAGACTTCTTCAAATTACAGAAACAATGGCGATTCACTTCCTAAGTCCTGAACTCTCCATACAGAAGAAGTTCGTTCAATCACTACATTTCCAATGGACGTAATCTATCTTATTACCCGACAAGTAAATTCTGCCTAATCTTTTTTCTTCTCTGTCTCTTCATTAGTATTATTTTGTCTTCTCAATTGTAATATTTTACATTTACAACTTTCTTGTTCTCTACCCCCATCCGATTTGATTTCTGCACCTCACCACCACTGTTACTGACTTGACCAACGCTAAATGTCTAGTCATTTATGTTACGTCATGCAACTTATTTGCTCGATTTCAGTTCTAATTTAAATGGTAAAATTATCTACCCCACTTCCACTTAGTCTCTACCTATAATTACCTCTGTTGCTACTCTGACCTAAGTTGAAACATTTTAGTCAATTATATTCCACGTCATCTAACTTACTAACTCAATCTTACTTTAGTTGCTGTCCAATTAACCTTGTTTCTATATTAGATCATTCTTTTATTACCTGATCAATTATTTAAACTTGACAAACCTCATGTACACACACAAATAATTATATATAAATGCGATTGTACAGCTATGTGAATGAATTCGCCGTCGAAAAGAGTCTCTTCGCTGAACGTAATCCACAACAGGAAACTTACGGAAGCATTCAAAGTGAAGACGGGAGTGAGACAAGGCTGTCTCCTATCGCCAATCATCTTCCTGATTGCAGTAGACTGGATAATGTGACAGACAGCGGACAATGAGGAAACAGGCCTAAAATGGACTCACACAAAAAACTTGGAGGATCTCGACTTCGCCGATGATATATGTCTGATTTCCCCCAAACTGGAAAATATGCAAGTGAAAAGCAACAAGCTGGTAGAAGCATCCACAGAAGATAGGACTTCAGGTGAACATAGATAAAACAGAGGTGATGAAGATTCCTGGCCAACACCAACAGCAACAACAACAACAGACAGCAATCAGCCAGCATAAATAGGAGGAACCTGAAAGAAACAACCTCCTTTACCTACCTACCTGGGAAGCATCGTTTCAACTACAGGTGGACAGAACTGACGAAGATATAAAGGCAAGAATCGGAAAAACAAGACAAGCTTTCATTACCCTCAAGTCTATGAGGAGGTCAAAAGCACTCAGAATCAAAAATAACATCCGAATTTTTAACTCTAATGTGAAGTCAGTCAGTACTACTCACTGTACGGATGATAGACTTGGCGCGTCATAAAGAGCACCTCAAATAAACTGCAGACCTTCACCAACAGCTGTCTTCACTCAATACTCAAGATCAGATGGCCGGCCAGAAAAGATCAGCAACAGGTTGGGATCCTCTGTCAATGAGCTAACCAACCAGGAACCGATTGTGAAACAAATAGGAAGGAAGAAATGGAGATGGATTGGTCATACTCAGAGAAAACCATCAAGTGACATCATTAGACAAGCCATTGCTCGAGTGGATCCCGAAGGCGAAGCGGCGAGTTGGTCGTCAGTGCAAGGGTGACTTGGAGGAGGTCATGTGAAGAGAAGATGAAAGCATGTGGGCAGACTTGGAGCGGAGTGAAAAAGTTGGCAGAAAACAGAAGGCAATGGAGACGCGTAGCTGAAGCCCTATGTTCCTCTAGGAATTAAAGGATATAATAATAATAATAACCGCTGAACATCTCTTTAAATATACAAAAGTTTAGTCGGTATACACAGACGCATGAATCTTGTGTATAGAATGTAGACACATAGAAAAGGGTAAAAGAAAACACTGAACAAATCATTAATATTTCACAGCTGTTATTATTATTATTATTAATATTATTATCATTATTAATTGTACTTTTTCTTTAAATTAACAATAATAAAACACCCAAAAGGGAAGAAAATATAAAAGAAATAATTGCAAAAGAAAGCAAAATTGTAGGAGAGCCTGCTCACACATATACGCACACACACAAACAAACCAATAGGCGTCCACAATTATTATGAGATTATAAAAGTGAAAAAGAGTTAAGGGAAAGAAACGGCAGGATAAAATGCTGGAAACCACAGCCCGCCTCCCTCCGTTGAAAATAATTTCAAGATTAATTTCATATCGCAAAGACACACAGACACACACACACACATACACATGTGAATAGATGGATGGGGAAGGGGGGGGAAAGACAGAGTACAATATCCAAGGCAATAAAATAAACAAGATAATAATAATAATAGTAATAATAATTGTCCGTCACTAAAATTAGTTAGTCTAAACAAGAAATATATATTAGTTAAACGTATATATATAAATATATATGACGTATTTGGACTAGGCAATAAGGAAAGGATAGCAGATCACATTACACGATTCAATTCGATTCGACTTCATGATTAAAACAAAAAACACTATCACATCATATTAACAATAATAATAATAAAAATAATAAATAAATAAATAAAGTAAAATAATAGTTATTATCATAATAAACCCTATTATACATGAAATAAAAAACTGATTAATTAGTTAGTTGAAATATTCGTTGATAATATATTAATTAATAATGTCGACTTTACATGACGGAAAGGGCGGGGGGAGCTGAGGGCAGGTGTGGTGTTTGGATACTGTTGGGATACTGTAGTCAAACATCCATAATGCATTATTTATGTCTCAAAGCGGAATAATAAGGTGTTATCCATGTATTGTCGCCATATTTTTCAGTTTTATTCTGAGAATCTCTTCGATTCAATAGAAGAGAGAGAAGGAAAAACACGATAAGTTATAGACAGTTTAGGGGTAGCGGTGGGGATTGAGGTGGTCGGGGGTGGGGGTAAATTTCCTGTTCTATAACATCAAAAGCAGCAGCTATCAGTTCAAGTTTGATCCATATGTAATTTAGCCATATAATCAGACAAAGGTGAATTACTAAATCCATAGGCAGTTGTAGCTGGTGTTGCTGCTATCGTCGATGCAATGCCAGATGGATTCACTGGCGTCGTTGTTGTAGGTGGTGTAGTTGTTGGCGCATAAGACATCATAGTATTGTCATTTAATTTTCTACTCTTTATGGCACTTAATTCAGTCTCTTTATTTCTTTCAATTAATTGATGCTCCATATGAATAGCTTCAGAAAATGACCTTTGAGAAATAAAATGAGAAGAAAATACAGTGACACATAGATAGATAGATATAAAAAAATAATACTGAATGGATTACAATAGAAAATATTTTCAAATCTTGTAAAGATCTTTCTGCTTTTTTTCCCTCTATGGTAACACTTAATGTGCATTCGTTTGAGAATAGTGACAATGTCTCTTTGTTGATAGACTTTAAATACTTTTCTGGACAATACCACTTTGAGTTAGGTTTAACCAGGGTAGACTGCGGATGAATTAGGTTCCAAACAAATGGGACAACCCTCCATCGATCTAGCTAGCATCCGCTACTGACTGATATCAGTGGTGTTCAACTACTTTTCACCTCTGACTGGTTTCAACATAGAGATTTGCACTGATGTGCAGCAGTTCGAGTCGCCACACTTCCTCTTGTAGCACATAAACCAGGAGAAATTAAAAAGAAATGCAAAATAGAGACATTAAACCCAGATATGAGATAAAAAGAATAGTAATATCGAAGAGTAAGATAGTTCTATTGGAAATTATAAGGAGTGGATACATCTGCATCAGTGACTGACAACGATTTTGAGCCATATCACCGATTGTCTCCAGCCTTCATTGGTTTTTACTGTCCCAAGGACCCAAACCAGTCAGGAAGTCTACACCTTCCTACGTGTCCAGCTTAAACTAACTGTTGTGGATTTCATTGATGGGCGGAGCTATGTTTTGGTTTGACCGCCGCTAGCTCTTCTACATTGCCAGTCGGTCGAGGAAGGCGATGTGCTAGACATGCATGTGTAACACATGTCCTAACCATCTCAGTCGATGTAGCTTCACAGCCTCGTCGATTGATTTCCCCTCCCACTCACCTATCTAGCACTCGACCGATGCTTAACCTGAATATTGCTCACCCTATTATACCATTTCACACGGGAGATAGGACGCAGACAATTATGATCGATGACAGCTAACCAACCTTTTCATGTCATTCACTCGCACTCACAACCATAAAGGAGGACCAAGCGGACTGCTGAGCAGTACATACACACACGGATATCACATCTACGCCAGTTTACGCCGTCTCTCTGGCTCTTTTCCAACCTGACCCTATGTCAGCTAACATTGTATAGTAAAAAGGAAGATATAATAATGATTTCAGCTGCTGCTGCTGTTGTTATTGTTGTTTCCTTTTTAACAAAAAGGACAAAAAGGCGTCACAACACAGTAGATAGTTAAGGCACAAAGAAAAAGAAAACGGAGAAATCCTGATCTATAATTGATTTTCCCTGTCTCATTGAAAAGTGATACACAGATGTGAAAATGCACACATGCATGCATACATACATAGGGCAAACTTAATTTAATACTAAGATTATTTATTTTACTTATCGTGTAGAAATGAGAGGAAACAACAAGAAATATCACTATAGAGACTTTAATTTCCTATCCTTATCTAGTATATTTTTGACCACAACAAAATGATACTACTTCTACTTCTAATAGCCTACAAGAATAACTAGGGAAAATATATAGAGACAGACTACTAGTAAGTAGGCTGTTAAGTTATAAATCCTAGAAGTTTAGAGAAGTGAAATTAGACATGTATGGCATCACACTGAGTGAGAGTGAGAGAGATAAAAATTATCACGTCAACATTCACCATTCATATTTTCGCCAACTCATGATAATTTCATCCACTAATTTCTCTTGGTACATTCATAGAAAGAAAGACCAAAATTCGGAGTATGATATCATTCTGTTTCACAGGTCCTCATCATCAGCTGCATAGCACTACTTGAAATTACAAGGGATGTAAGGGAATGGTGTTTGAAACTATGGACACTGGGGTCGACACTCGGTGGGGAACACCATCACTCACTGAGGAATGCAGGTACATTTAGATGACGAGCCCCGAGTAGGGTGAAATGCTCATCCTGGAGTCCACTGCTACTTCCATTAGAGATAAGATTTTATTTTGATAAATCACACAGTGTTGTTATATAGCAATATTAACTGATGACTACGTTTCGAGGACAAACTATTGCCACTCATAGTCATATCAAGTCACTCACACAACTTTTTTCCTTCATTTATATACAATCAGATGGGGAATAAGATGAGTGTTTTTATATTCCAAATAAGTAACTTGTTAGAATGTTATGATGTATGTGAAAGATTATTTAGATTATTTATTATCCTCCTCTGATTTGACTGACTGGTGGTAATAATATCTTCCATATCTGTGGTATTTGCTTTGAGTCATTTTTGTTGCATGCGTTGGGTGTAGACTCGATGAGCCAAGCAGGATTCAGTAATCAACCTCTCTCTATCTCCACCTACCTATATTACTCTTTAGAGTTTTAACCCTCTCCAACCCTATTGTGTGGATGTGTGTTAATGCATGCGGTGCAATCGCTGAGTTGTTTTCTAAATTACTAATCTTCTCGTGGTCAACCATTCTTACCTAAGCTAAATTCTTGTGTTCTGACAATCTGATAACCCTGACCTACTAGTTTGACCTATACAGTTGACCTCACAGTCATTGCACGGTATTTTGAAAATTATATTTTGTTTAATTGGTCTGTAGGCTAGAAGACCCAGTGGATCCAATTAAACAAAATAATATAATTTACAAAATACCTTGCAGTGACTGTAAGGTCAACTACAGAAATGTAAGGGAGAAAGGAAAGTAACATGGAAAAACAGGAGGGCTTGATGAATATGCGAGATCACAATGTCTGAGACGCTGAGGACAATTTTGAACAGTAACACCAATACCCTCTAACCATTGGTTCATAGAATCCTGACAACGCCAAAGAGCTAAGTCTACACCTCCCTATGTGGCTGGCTTAAACTGACTGTTAGAAAACTTCATGGGCTAATACCATGTTTCTATTTGACCACCACCACTAGCTCTTTTCCAACCTGATCCATCCTATGTCAGCAAACATTGCCCGTCGTGTAAGCTGATGGCCTGGCATGCATAACACATAACCTAACCAACTTCTTAATCGATACGACTTCACAACCTCATCCATTAACCTTCCCTCCTTGCCTAACACTTGACCGAAGCCTAACCTCAATACTACTCACTCTATCGTACCATCTAACAGGGGAGATAGAATGCAGACACATATGATCAAAGACAGCCAGCCAGCCAGCCAGACTTTTAATATCTTCCACTTCTTAAAGAGGGAAGGTTACACAGCCATAAGGGAGGATGGAGAGAAATTTCAAATTACCGGCATCAGTAAATGAATGAATTTCTTAGTACAATTTATCAACGGAAAAAACATTTCTCAACAGTTTTACCTCCAAGATAGACGTATTAAAGTAAAAAAAGAAAAAAAGTAAGATTGAAGTATACTCATATACTCATACCGGTAATAAATTACTTTCTTCGATGTTTACCTAACAATCACGTGTAAAATAAACAAAACGATAATATACTTAAGCCGGAAAAAAGAAAAGATATGACGATTTCACTTAGATTCATACTGCTCTTACTGAGTGCATTAAATAAACATGGTAGTATTTATGAGAAAGAGAAAGTTAGCTGGATCTAACACAATGTGATACACATATAACAGTAAATAGGTTAATTATTGTTTTCTAATTGGCTATAATGTGCGTTGGTGGCACAGCGGTAGAATACTCGATTGCCATGCAGGTGGACCGGAGTTCGATCCCTGGCCACCGACGCACTCCTTTACCTCGCTAAAGGCAGTAATAAGACTGGTAAAGACGGAAGGTGGGGCATGAAGCAGGCTAGCAACCTCATCTCGTAAAATTAAAAACCACTGCTAAAGAAACTTCAAGCCGGAACTATGGTCACATCACAAACTTGACTATCTGTCCACTTCAGTGTGCACCAAACAAAGGACTAGACACACTACACTGGTTACTGACTAGTATCCAATCGAAAGTATCCAGTACAGTCCTACAGAAGGTCAATCGCCAGCCCGAATAGCTCAGTGATAACGTATCTGACTGAAGTATTGGGTCACGTAGGTACGAGTCTCAAAAAGGGACACGAGTACATCCGAGGTTGCAGATACTCCTTGATGACTGATGACTGCCAACTAACACGAAACCTAGGTGAAGCAAGGCTTCCTGTGGCCGATTTCCTCCAACCATCTAATTTAAACACAATTTTAAAGGTGATAATATTGCAGGAATAGTTAACAGAAGATTGACTACCTTACTAGTCATAATTTATCCTGCAGGTAAGAATTGGTTCCCGTTCATCGGACAACCTGCTCTATCAAACGCCTGAAACCCGATTGATGTGTTCATGAACAAGTAATTATTAGTCTTTCATCTCCCCGTCAACTGGATGTCTCTACTTTCTCTCTCTCTGTCTCTCTCCCACTTTCATTTGATCATGTAATCTTTGCTTTTAGCCCCCCCTCCTCCCCCTCTGACATAGTGTAATTTTGCTAGTCTCTTGTTTCTATAATTTGAGTTGAACTCACCATATTCTTATTCAACTCGACAGTTACTCATCACCTATCTTATTCACATCTTTTGTTTATTACGTAATTCTTTCCACTTTATCCAGGCGTTTACTCTGCATAAGTTTCATTTCTGAGTAGTATATTAACTCTATAGTGTCCTGTCAGCTAACATTATGTGACATTTCTAGGCTATCAAGTGTTAGCTTGCAGGAATTTGGTCGGTTACAGGATTTCATCATGAGCTGACACCGGTTTGAGAACTATTGAAAAGCCTGGGAGTACTGGACAGATGTTTCGTACCAGTTCGGGAGCCTTCAGTACTACGCACCCATTAGAGGAGGTTCGAACCCAGGACCTTCCGATTACCAGGTAAGCTCGTAGACCATTCTCAGCCACTGAGACTCAGTCCAATGGCCATCCTATGAATTCCAACTTCTACCAGCTCACTAGCTAATGTCTTCGGCGAGTATTTGTCTTCATATCCACCATAAGAGAATAGGTACTTACAGAAGATTGTGGCTGGCGATCGCACTATACACTGAGAACTGGTAGAAGTTAAAATTTATGGGTCATTATATCCGTCACCAGTGGCTTATTTGTCTACGAGATCTTCTTGTAAAGAGAAGGTCCTGAACTCGAACCCGTTGGATGAGTACTACCAATGATTCTCAAACTAGGAAGAAACGGCTGTCTAGTACCCCCAGATTTTCCAATAGTTCTGCAACCCATGAAATTTGTTAGTATATTAATATCGTCCAGTACACAAACTTAAAAACTGCTTTAGGCTGTGTGCAGATGACGAGAAGCCAATAAAATAAAAAGAAACTATGAAGGTACCATCTTATTTTGAACAAATTGTGTATGAGAAAGGACGAAATTCCTAACAGTGTTACTATCATTTTATTGAGAAAGCCAAACACACCAATTATCGGCATACTACAATGATGTTGTTAAACGGTTAAATACAATCGTCAAGAAGTAGTGAGATCTAATTCTTCTGAGTTCTGCTCACTGTATTACATCATCAACTTATCTGATCACATGTGCACCTAAACTTTAAAATGTTGATCTTCTCTCATCTAATTATATTAGCTATTACTAATTTTCTTTTGTTACCACCGTAATAACACAACTGTTAGTTAAGTTTTTTTAAAGAAACTTCTCTCTACCAAGATATACATAAATGTCGTTACATTTTAGACACCCTGTAAATCGCAACGCCTTACTTTACTATGACGCTCTGACAATATGCTTGCTAATGGACAAAAGTTTGTTAAAATTGTACACTTTTTTATTTTATTAAAGAATTCAGGTTGTACGCAGCTGATGATGGGAGCCGACGAAATAAAATGGATCCAGATTATTCTGCGCCAATGTCTCTTCTTTCTTTGTTCAAATTTATCAAAAAGGAATCATTGTATGACATACACATGAATATTGGCGAGGAAAAGCAACAAAAAAATAGTCCAGAGACAAAAAAAGCCCCATTTCTAAAACCTACATGGCAACAATCTCTTCAGATACATTTGTAAAACATTTCCAACCAGTTTTAGCATGATGTCGTATTGTAGTCATCAAATTGACAACAGCTTCTGGTCTAGGCGGACGAATTAATTCAGATTTCGGTATCCAATAAGAAGCATTCATCCATGCCTCTTGAGCACCATTAACATCTATACATTGATTCAATGGATCATCGTTCAAGACAGGAATCCAGTGAGTTTGTGACGCTGGAAGTAATAAAGCATTTAAGCAGGATGTAATACAGTCAGCTACTGTTGCCGGAGAATAACCGCCTTCTAAAGCCAAGACTATACGACTGTTTGATATGGACATACACTGGGAATGAGATACAATAAAAACAAATCGAATAAAAAGAAAATAATCGATATAATGCATGCAGTTATATAAAAATTATACTCGTTATCATTAGAAAAATGAATAATTAATAAAAAAAATTCCATTAATTTGTTCCTCATCACATTCTTCTACACAGTTATATACGATGTAAATGTTGTATTAAATTACATTGAATCCACATAGTACCAACAGACAGATTACATGTCAAAAGCATCCGTGTAAGAGACTGATAATGCGCATCAATGGAACACTAAACTGTCCAAATACAAACTGATAAATATGGGCTGCAATCTTCGAATGTTTGGCATGCGATTCACTCCCACCGTGAAATGTAAGATGATTCCACAGGACTGGACTACATTGACCAACTCCTAGTTTAGAAATAGGAAGTGAAGTGGTTGGTGGAGCACGTTGACCGCTTCACTTATTTAGGAAGTACCATCAGCCAATGACAACGGGTTGATCTCTGACGCAATCTCAGCTGAGTACGGATACAGAGGGCTAGTTTCGCGTATGCCAGTTTACGCTTGTTAGACGTGATATCCGACCGGCTATCAACCAAAAAGCGTGTGTACTACTAAGCAGTCCGCTCCGTCCTCCTTTACAGCTGGCTGTGAGACCTGGCTATTGAGAGTGAATGACATGAAAAGGTTGACCAGCTGTCTTTGATCATAGATGTCTGCGTTCTATCTCCCGTGTGAAGTGGTATAATAAGGTGAGGGATATTGAGGTTAGGCGCCGAGTGGCAGGTAGGTGGGAGGGGAAATCAATCGACGAGGCTGTGAATTTACATCGACTGAGATGGTTAGGACATGTGTTACGTATGCCTAGACATAGCCTTCTTCGACCAACTGGGAATGTTGGCTGACATAGGGTCAGGCTGGAAAAGAGCTAGCGGTTGTCAAACCAAAACATGACTTCGTCAGTCAGTGAAATCCACAACTGTTGATTTGAGCCGGACATGTAAGAAGGTTTAGACTGGCTTCCTGGTTGGGGTCCTCGGGACGGTAGAAATCAATGAAGGCTGGAGACAATCGGTGATATGGCTCGAAATTGTTCTCAATGGCTGGTGCAGATGAATCCACTCCTTGTGACTTATAATACACAATGAAACTGTTTTGTTCTTCGTTACTATTATTCCTTTGTATCACACCTCTGTTTACTGTCTCTATTATGCATTTATTCTACTTTCTTGTCTTGCTTTGTGTGCTACAAGGAGGGAGTGAGGCGATTTGAACTGTTGCACATCGGTGCAAAGTTCTACGTCGAAAACAGACAGAAAAATGAGATAAGTTAAAGGAAGTAACGTGTTGAATAAAAATCTGACAGTAAAATTGCCTCTTTAGACATCCTACTGACAAAGAGATCAGACAGTCGCATTGAAAAAACTACTTGAACTGGTCAATATACACATTTTCACAGCTTTCTTCCTCCTCCCTGGTATGAAAGAAGTTTGGTAAAGATCCCAAGTTACAGCATCAGAAGTATTTGTTCAGAAGACGCAGTCGAAGACGACGGGGCTTATGGAGTTGTATATGACATGTTAATTGAAAAAATGCCACCCTGTGGTGTAGTCAGCTCAACACTTAAAACATGCCCAAGAGAGTAGGAAGAAATTCCTCTGTATCTGTTAACAAGAAGCCTCTATATAGACACGATTACAATTCAAACATGATGTATCAAGTGAAATAATAACCAGCTAGTTGAGGGAATCGATCCGATGAACGTTTAATGCCGACAAGATGCAGCTTATATTTTTTATACAAACCAGTTGTGATTCTGAAAATGAATGATGAAGTACGCAGGCTAGCCACAACTAACTATAGAGCAAGTTATGTTGGCTGTTGGGACAACACTTACCAGTGTGGTTAAGTAAAAGTGCTGCTAATAACCACCAACAGTTCTGTATTGGACTACTATGTGCAAACAGGTCACAATGCCTCACATTGATTGAAGAGTCCTTCACCCTCATCTATCGGGTACAAAATAATTTACCAAAGGTCTCCAGATACGGAACACTTTGAAGAGCAGAAACACTGTTGCACTTCGCTTAAATCAACTGGAGCTGTGTGTGCGCAGAAGAAACCAGTCCAGTCGACCACTATTATAACTCTGCCACCGGCTGCCCTTCAACCTACAAAATTCATGAGTTCTGTCTTACTTCCCATAAAATTATCTGATATTTAGTCAGTCTAGTGTTAGATATCAGCGAATTACCCGTCTCTTAATGATGCTTTCGAAATGGAATCTTTGTTGAGAATATTGATTTAATGTTATTTGAAACTCTTCCTTTGTCAATAGCAATATATATATATATATATATATATATATATATATATATATATATATATATATATAGTGGTGGACTGCATTATGCGTCACACAGTGGGAAACGAACAGATAGGGATATCCTAGACCGACGTGAAGAACCTAGAAGACCTGGATTTCGCACGTGGAAGATTTATGTTTGATGTCACACAAAATCGAAGACTTACAAGCGAAAACCGACCGCCAAACTGGTCGAAGAAGCAGCCAGCAAAGATAGGACTCCAGGTGAGCATAGACAAGACGGAGGTTATGAAAATAACCAACCAACAACAACAACAATAACAGCAACATCCAGTGTCAATCACCATCAATGGGAGGTATTTGAAAGAGGTTACTTCATTCATTCACTTATCTAGGGAGAGCATTGTCTCAACTACAGGAACGGAGGAACGGACGAGGATGTCAAATCAAGCGAGAATCGGGAAGGCGAGAAACACATTCATCAACATTCATCAAACAAATCTAGAAATCTTCGTCACTCAGCCACCATCAACAACAAAATTCGGTAGGATTTTCAATACAAACAACGCCAAGTCAGTCAGTTCTTCTATACGGATCGGATCAGAAACTTGGCGGCCGGGCGGGCGGATCACAAAGAATATTTCCAACAGACTAGCTTTTGCAGACCTTTATCAACAACTAACTCTCATCGCTGGATCTATACTGAAGATCAGATCAGATGGCCGGGCCGGAAACAATCACCAACAAGAAACTATGGGAACAAACATAACAAAACAAGAAGCAATCGCCAACCAACAAATATACAGGAGAAAGTGGAGATGGATTGGAAACTAGCTGAGCAAGAGGCCGCTGGGTGACATGGCACGGCGCGTCAGGCCATTGTTCGAGTGGAACCAGGCCGAAAGGGAAGTGGCGAGCGGGACGTCAGTGTGAAGGTGACATGGAGGAGATCGTGTGAAGAGGAGTTGAAAGAGTATAGACTAAGATGGATGCAGGTGAAAAGTACAGCAGAAGAAAGACAGAAGTTGCAAGTAGGGGGAGACGTGCAGTTGAAGCCCTATGTTCCACTAGGAACCCAAGGGAACAATAATAATAAATAATAAAATACGGAACACTAATGATAATAATAGCAATAATAATTCTTCATATCCTAACCTGATGTGTAATCCATGCGAACAGTCCAGCTGATACAGAATAACCACCGAGTGCTTCACCATGACCATAAGCAGCATCATAACCAGCTGAGATTAAGATAATATCTGGTTGAAATTCATGTCCAACAGGTATAACAACAGATCGCATTGCAGCTAAATATTCTGCATCACTTAAACCCAATAAAGGTTCATTCATAGGACGATGTTGTGCCGATGCCGCCGCTGATGATGATGTAGTTGATGATGACGATTGATGAGGTAGTGATTTCCTTTCTGTCTGTTGATATTGATGGTGATAATGGTGATGATAGTGGTGATGGTGTTGATGATGACGTGAATGACATTGACACTGTGATTGATTTGATTCAGATAACAGGCTATCAGATTTATCATCAGAACATGATTCAGCTGATTGTGATGGATTAAATAATCCACAATTTGTTTGAATATACGATAAAGATGATGATGAACGTACTGACTGGGATAAACAAAATGAACACAACTGACTACTACCACTACTACTAATACTTCCACAACCTGTACTTATTGTTTGTTGATTCATTGATGAACATGTACAATATGATAAGTCGACAGTATCATGTCGACATTGTTGTATTGAACATCGACATGTTGATGATGAAAATGATGATAACGATGAAGAAGATTTCTCTGGTTCCGATGAATTTGATTTATCTGAATAACTTTGATGATGTCTACTACATGGTGCACCTTCAACGACATGATCACCATGATTGCACAATACTTGCTATTCATGGTACATATAATATATAAATATGAACGAAAATTATTATTATTTATTATTGTTATTATTAATGATAATAATAAGAATATCTCTTGTGATAGATAATTCTTACCAATTTCATAAAGTTAACTCAGATGAATGACAGCTAACCAAAGTTATACATTCATTCATACTTTCTTCAATAATAACTTGATGAGTTTCTCGAATCAAAAAAGACTACTTTATTTCTAAACATAGTAGTATGCATTTTTTTAAAAAATATTCAAATAAGATGTATTAGTGTTCTGTTTTTCTTTAATTCACACTCAGCTAGTTACCACCACCTACTTACTTACTCATTAAGCAGTGATGCATTTAAGCTGCGTCTTTCACTAACATAAAGTAAGAAAAGAATGATAGTTTGAGCAGCATACCGTGTTGTTGTTCTTTTTTGCTTCATCGGTTATTTCTCATCAGCTGTACATGTAACCTAAGTAATCCATTATGCACTATATATATATGCACATGCGTCGGTGACATAGCAGTTAGGACGCTCGTCAACCATACACATGGTCCGGGGTTCGATCCCCGGCCATCAACGCACTCCTTTACCTCACTAAGCCAGAAATAGTTCTGGTAAAGCGGGAAGGTTGGGAATGAGGCTAGCAAACCCATCCTGTAAAAATAAACACTGCTACAGAAACTTCAAGCTTCTAGCTTCAGGCCCTATTTTCCACTGGGAATGTGAAGGAATAAAAAAGAAATATGTACATGTACAGAGAAACTGTAAATATTCTCCTTCTGTTACTCCCAGAAATGAAACGCCTGCTGATAATAATAATGATAATAATGTGTATTATAGCAGTTAATTCTGATTCTACTCCAACACCATGCCATACAGTGCCCGTAATCTTTAACAACCTCATTCAACAGCTCTATTTGACAATGGCACGTGCCGGGTGATGAAAAAATGGAAAACTCAGTGTGGTGTTTGAAGTGAATACAAGAGTAAGACAAGGCTGGCTGCCTGCTATCACCGATGATAATCCTGATTACAGGATTTCATCACGAGGTGACATTGGTCAGAGAACCATTGGAAAACCTGGGAATACTGGAGAGCTGTTTCACCCGTCCTAGTTAGGGACTCTTCATCAGTACGCATCCACCGCCAGGGTTCGAACCCAGGACATTCTGGTTAAAGGGGTAGTGAGCTCGTATACCATTAAGCTACTGGAACCCGATTTAATGGCCCACGAATTCTAACTTCTGCCTATTTACGACATAGCGCGATCCTTAGCCAATGTCTTTGGTGAGTATTTGTCCTCACATCCGACCTGCTGCACTCTACTGGTAAGGACTTCCCACTAATGAAATCCTGTAACCAATCAAATCCCTACAATCCAACACTTGAATATCGATGAGATGCTCACTAGCGACTGGCCCTATTCAGGTAGGTAATTACCTGAGGTTCCAGTGGGAAGTCATGACCAGTAAGGTGCAGCAAGTCAGGTGTGAGGACAAATACCCGCCGAAGACATTGGCTAGGGGTCGCGCTATGTCGTAAATTGGCGGAAGTTAGAATTCATGGGCTATTGGATCGAGTCCCAGTGGCTTATTGGTATACGAGCTCGCCTTGTAACCAGAAGGTCCTGGGTTCAAATTCCGGTGGGTGTGTACCGATGAAGAGTCCCAAACTAGGACGGGTGAAACAGCTGTCCAATGCTCCTAGGTTTTCCAGTGGTTCTAATGTCAGCTCATGATGAAATCCTGTAACCAACCAAATCCCTACGAACCAACACCTGAATATTCCTGATTGTAGTCGACTGGATTACACGACGGTAGACTGTAAGTAGGTAGCGCATAGACAGGAATACGTCGCCAGGGGGCGGGAGAGGGAAGGGGTCGGTGATAAGAAGACTATATAAGATCTGGATTTTCCGGATGATTCCCATTTAATAATATCACAGGAATTGGGAGACTTACAAGCGAAAACCAACAAACTGGTTGTACAGGAATTCAAGTGGAAATAGAGAAGGCGGAGGTGCTGAAGATACACACACACACACACACACACAAACAAACAAAACAACAAGCTGTATCAATCACTATAAAAATGGGAGAAATTCGCAACAAGGTTATTTGATTTATCCAGCCTGCGCCGTTTTAACCACAAGCGACAACACGGATAAGAATGTAAATACAGACAGAATGGGAAAGGCAAGCCAGACCTTCATCACTCTGAAATCAATTTGTGATTCCTTTGCACTTAGCATAAACAACAGGATTAGGATTTTCAACACAAATGTTAAGAGAGTCATTTTGATGTAGTTTTGTTCTCTGAGCTGGATAGTTAGTTTGCGAAGCTTTCATCACCTTACTGGGTGACATCTTCAGCGCATACTTCAAATTGAAGTATGCGCTGAAGATGTCACCCAGTAAGGTGATGAAAGCTTCGCAAACTAACTATCCAGCTCAGAGAACAAAACCACATCAAAATTATCCACCTGAGCTACAAATCTTCTCTATCATAGTTAAGAGAGTCAGTCAGTCAGTCACTTCTTCTCGATGATCCAGAAGATTGGCTATAATGCGTCACGAAAAGCATTTCTAACAGGCTACTGCAAACTTTTATCAACAGTTAAATTTGCTCCATATTGAAGATCGAATAGCCGGTGGAAAGAATTAGCAACAAGGAACTCTGAGACCAAACCAACCAAGAACCTATAGACCAACAAATATGTAGAAGAAAATGAAGGTGGATTGGACACACTGAGGAGACTGTCGAATGACATCGAGCACCAGGCCATCGCTTGAGTCGAAACCCGATTGGCTTCTTGTGCAGAGGCTTCGACGATGTCTAGGTACTTAATTAGTATTTAATTCGTGGATGGTGACTAGCAGTGGAATCCAGGGTAAAAACGCATTTCGTCCTATTTGGGACTCGTCATCTGGATGTACCTGCATTCCCCAGTGAGTGGTGACGTTCCCATGGGAAAATCTAAAATTCAATTAAATTAATATGACCCATCGCACAAGAGGTGGTTGTCGTGGCCTTAGTTCTCCAGTGGATAACGCTCTGGCGTTTGAATCTATGGGCACTAGGTTCGAGTCTCAGCGGCGGGAACATCATCACTCACTGAGAAATGCAGGTATATCGAGCCGACGAGCCCCAGATAGGACGAAATGTGCGTTGTCCTGGATTCCACTGTTAGTCATCATCCTTCAATTAAACATAGTCTTTGGTTTAAATTAATAGTTGACAGGTATCCCTTCCATTTTAACTCGATTTTTTTTTCACAAACTTACGTATATCAGGAGGTATCTGTCACTTTTGGTGAACAGAAAGAAGGATACACCTTAGTTAGATTCTTTGAAAATGTACCGAAAAGCCTACATCTAAACAGAAACAAACAGTTTCAACAGTGCTAGTGTAAGGCAACTCGATGGTACACCTCTTTATGAAGTGAACATCTTGAAATCTTTTAAGATTATCACTAGACAATATAGCTCAATTCCCCCATAAGACTGTTGAAGCAATTGTTATGAAAGCGTTAAAATGCAACTGTGATATTCAGAAACTCCTCTTTCTCTTATTTGATTATATATAATCTTTCGCTTAAACTTACCTATTTTTGGATAATGTTTCTGTTTTTATTATTTCCGTTGACTCACCACATTATTAATACACACACACACAACTCTCTAGTTACTTATCACCAATCAATCTATCTATCTCTTGTATTTTATTGTACATTGTCTTCTTCAATGTATCCACCATCTTATTTTAAACCTGAACCTTTGGTTTATGAGTTATTAGTGTAACTTTTCAACACTTATTACAGTTTCTTCAGTCTTTCATTGACTGATTATTACATTACCTTTGCGAGTACTTTAACAATTTCTCTGAGCATATACTTAAAATTTGAACAAGGCATTAAGAAGACAAATTTTGCGAGCTGATATCACTTCGTATTTATTTTATCACTGCTAACCATGTTAGTTGTAAAGCGGTTGTAAAGAAACTACGAAATGACGATATCATCTCGCGAAATTTGTCTTCTTAATGCCTTGTTCAAATTTATCAAAGGGACTAATTGTTTTAATATACGTAAATAACAGTTCTTTCAGATTTGGAGGTGGTTGTGTTCTCTGAGCTGGATAATTAATTTCCAAAGCTTTCATCACCCTACTAGACGACGTCTTCAGTGCATACTTCAATTTGATGAAGTGAACTTTTAGATTTCTCCATGAGTTTATTAATCATCTCTCCTGGTGACCTTGGACGTGATTGGTTGTTTTTGTGAGATTTCACACCTTCTAGGTTACTTGTATTGGAAGACGTCCATGGACTCCTTCCAAAAGAATGGATATCCACGGAATTTCATCGAAAGACATATACCCCCAAGACAACCTATCAAACCAAAAGCCCCCAAGGAAAGCACAAAGAAAATCGTCTTACCATATATAAAGGATATCTCAGAAATCACTACAAGACCCTTCAAACCTTTAGGAATTAACCTCGTACACAAACCAACAAAGTCATTTCACTCAGCTGGCTCTATGTCAACCAAAAGACTCAACAGCGAAAGAAGATAAAACCAAGATCATCATGTGCAAAATAAATTGTAACAACTGCGAAAAACACTACATTGGCCAAAGTGGACGTCCCCTTCCTTTTCGTATCCACGATCATAAGCTAGCCATCAAAAGACATGATATCCACTCCCTCATATCACTACACACAGACAACCACGGACATCAATTCGACTGGGACAACGAACGTTCAAATATTAGATAGAGGAAACAACAAGAATGCCAGACAATTTTTAGAAGCCTGGCATTCCAGTGAATCATCAATCAATAGACACATCGAAATAGACAAAATTTATCAACCGATAAGAAAGAAACCTCACACACAAAGGGTGAAAGTTTAAGTCAAAGAAACAATCAGTTCCAATACAAGTAGCCTAGAGGGCGTGAAAACACACAAAAACAACCAATCACCCATCAGGAGAGATGATTAATAAACTCATGGAGAAATCTAAAAGCACCCTTCAAATCTAAGTATAGGTGCTGAAGATGTCGCCTAGTAGGGCTATGAAAGCTTCGTAAATAAACCATCCAGCTCAAAGAACACAACCACCTCAAAATCATCCAACTGAGCTACAAGTCTCTTTCTTTCCTTCATGTTCCCCAGTGGAACATAGGGCTCCAAGCTAGTGGCTTGAAGTTTCTGTAGCAGTGTTTATTTTTACAGGATGGGGTTACTAGCCTCATGCCCAACCTTTACTTTACTTCGGCTATCTCCTACGGGAGGATGAGCCGGCTTCATGAACGTCTCGAATCATCGCTGCCCAGGCACGGCAATTTGTAAGAGAGTTCATGAAGTTTCATGGGAATTGGGTACGAGTGATGTCCCCAGAATCGCTCGGCCTTTTGTTTCAGAGTGCAGCTCTAGCCTTTACACAGCCAAGTGTGACCTACAAGGCAGTAGGAGTGGAGTAAGGAGTCCACTATCCATTGGCAGCCGGTGACCGGAGTTCGGTTCATACGCCTTTTTGAATGGGGCCAGACATCCAGGACATCCAACAAGCCCTTTGTCCATACGTCTGCCGGTGAGCTCCAGTGAGCTTCATACGCCAGTCGTTGGAGGTTTGGAATCAGGGTTTAGCCATCTCCCCTAGACCGTCATCCAATGGACAGTCAACCCGGTGAAGAGCGCCGGGCATCCGCTTTTGCCCTCTCACTTTGGTGAAAAACACCTCCGCCACGTGAAGGCAGTGAGTAGGACTTCCTCAGGAGAGGCTATGTAAGACGCCCGGTCATATGGGAGCATTTCAAGAGGTGTATGGAGGGGTGGCCAACCCGCAGGGCAAGGCACCCACCCCCGACCATCCTGAGGCTTTCCTCTTTACCAGCATTGTTTCTGGCTTAGCGAGGTAAAAGAGTGCGTCTGTGGCCGGGGATCGAACCCTGGACCATGTGCATGGTCGGCGAGCGTCCTAACCGCTATACCACCGACGCACAAACAAGTCTCTTTCAGATTGTATTAAAGTTGACGAGAAAGCGACGAAATAAAATGATAATATCTTACCCTATACTAAAACACATGTTCTTGCCCTATTTAAATGCGTAACGAGGAATAAACGCATAAAATATCTACAAAAGTTATTTTGTAGGGATTTGATGTATTTCAAGTTATACCAGGGATCAATATCAGTTAGAGAACCCATTGACAACCAGTGCTGGGGTATTGGATAGCTGTTTCATCCCAGCTGGAGACTCGTCGGCAGTACACACCCACTGGGTTCCGAACTCAAGACCTTCCTGCTACAAGGTAAGCTCATAAAATTTATAATTCATGGACCAAAGAGTCCAAACTCAGTGGCTGAATGGCCTATGAGCTTACCGTGTAACCAGAGGGTGCTGGGTTCGACCTCCAGCGGGTATTTATCAAATATATGTTTATCTTTGCATAGTGACACATTTAATGTCAGTTAGCAGAAAAAACGTATATCCACGTATGTCTTCCGATAAAAGTTCAATCCTCTAAGATCACAAACAAGCACAGTGTGTTATGATGAAACATCTCTCAACTCAGTGTTCATCTGAAATCGGTAACTCGTTGATAACTAGGTGAACGCAAAAATAAAAAAAACTTTCCCTTTCTCGTTTTCTTAATCATCAATCTGATAAAACCAGAAAGGAAATAAAAACGACACGAATATTGTAAGACAAGGGATAAAACATTGTATTCCTTTGAGAATGATATAACTTCTAGATATCAAGTGGGGGGTAGATACTGTGGAACACGTTGTTTACTGCCTTAGGCACTTAATTTTAGAGACAATAGGTTCCTGAGCTTCAACCACGCCCGACTAACTTCAGCACGGGCGAATGAGTAGGTAGTGTGTCACTCCCCTCCCTCGCCACACACACACACACACACTAAATTGTAAGAAAAAGGCACAAACAACGAAGAAAATTTTCCCCTTTTCGACGATTCATTTTCATGAGCTGTACAATCATAATTATAATTAACATAGAAATCTTTAGACCAATCAGATACTGGTAAGCTTTGTCCTTGAAAAATTGTATTACGTAATATAGGGGTGGATGAATGCTTCACAGAGTCCCTCAATATCGTACAAAAGGACTCCGGATACGACATCTGTACATAGCTGAGGCATTAGCTATTCGAAACCTAAAACCGGACCTGTGCATAGAAAAACGATACATACATTCTCTGGCCCTACCATAGCCAGAGTACATTTCTTACTATAATTTTGCTCCTCTTTTAATATATAAGCTCACTATTATTATTATTACTGTTCTTAATACTTTTATTATTATTACTATTCCCACCATCCACATTTTATAACCACTCTATTACTGTTTATTAATAAAATTGCTTTTTCACACAGATCTTCTACAAAACTATTTTATAACCTTTCCAATAGTTCCTGTCCATTCTACACTAGCTTATTGATTAGTCATTATCTCACACTTATTAGGTTATGCCAACTTCTGTCTCCTTTCAAACTTACAATTAGTCATCACTTCTTACATCTTACATTATGTATTACAATTTTTCAAGGACAAAGTTTACCAGTATCTGATTGGTCTAAAGATTTCTTTGTTTATTATAATTACGATTGTACAGCTCATGAAAATGAATCGTCGAAAAGGGGAAAATTTTCTTCGTTGTTTGTGCCTTTTTCTTATGACTCAATATGGGAATATTTCGTTCATTGAAGAACACTAAATTGTACCTCATAGCATGATACATGCATCGGGTGACTGAGTTAAGTAACTATTCATAGATAACATTAAATATCACAGAACTATGGTTACCGTTTCTGTTCGTAATTTAGCATAAAGGATATAGGTATATTAAAAAAAAATTTACTCAAATTTACTCACTTTTTGCTGTATCGATCGATTCGCAGAATCCTTTAAACAAATTAAATGGAGATATCAGCTACACATAAACACAGGGTTACATAATAAATAATGATAAAAAAAACCCACACTTTTCAGGGAAAAAGATACTGTGACATGAAAAATGAACATACAACTAAGCTAAAAATAACAAGGAATCAATAATTTAAGTGAAAATATATGCTCCTGTTAACTACTACTCACTAGTACGAGTGTCTGTCTGTCTGCCTATTTTCGACATATAACTTTTCACCGATGTGCCACAGTTCAAGTCGCCACACTTCCTCCTTGTGGAACACAAAGCAAGACAAGAAAGTAGAAGAAATGCATAATAGAAACAGTAAACAGAGGCGTGAGACAAAAGGAATGGTAATAACGAAAAATAATAGAGTTTCATTAAAAACCATACATATATATACGATTGTACAGCTTGATAATAAATTCGTTGTTGAAAAGAGTTTCTTCGCTGAATATTGTGTCCTTAATAACTTAATATACAGACGATAACCAGTGGTGGAAAATTGGAATACCAACAACGTTTTTTTTAAGGAACTTCTGCTGAGGTGTACTCTTTACATGTACAATTCTCACTTTGAATGACTCCATATTCAGGCAAAAAGATGGTGTGTTGCAATGGGGTCTCCGTTGGGTCCCTTCATTAGCAAGCAAACTTTTGAATGGTAAGCCTAGAGAATGTGGTTCATCCAAGTCGACTATTATCAATCTAAAACTGTACACAATGTAGTCCGATGACATTTGCATCATTTGCAACGATAGCTATAACACCTCAGTTAATTACTACAGGTATTCAACAGCTGCTAGCCGGCAATAAAATTCACTCTTGAAATGGAAAACCAATCCAAAATTCCTTTCCTTGTTGTGGAACTAACAAGAAGACCTGTAGGAGCCTTAATAAGTTCAGTTCAAGAGAAACTCATTTGGAATGGTCAAGTAACAAGTTTCCACAGTTGTGTCTGATGAACGAAAACAAAATTTAATTAAATCCCTTTCCACTTGCATTCAACTCATTTGTAGACCTAATGCCGTAGAAGTAGAAGTGGATCTTCTGAAAGAAATATTCATCCGAAATGGATACCCTTGACAAGAATATCAAGCCAGAAGTTTAGAGAAATGAAATATCACTCGTACCTAAAAGAAACTTTACGCGAACGTGGATTTTTTAAGGCGGAAGTAACTTGTGATAAACAACTTTAGAGGAGAATTTCAACATTCTTGAGGAGAATATTCTTCGCAGAAACCCTAGGAGTGGTGTTCTGCAGAAGCCTGAAGAACAAGATCTCGCATCTAACCACTTATATATGCATACATATATCAGTTCACCTGTTCCTGCAGGACTAGATATATTGGTTGTTCGACGACGATCCGGTCTGAAAGGTTTCAAGAACGCTACCTTGCTTGGTTGTGTGAAAAGGCAGTAGTGGCTCTGTAGGGAATGCACAACAGAATACCTTGTCAACACTAGTCATTCTACCTCAAGAAACCGCTGTCTCAAAGTAACATATAAAGTGAGGAATAACTTGCCAAGGGCAATAAGGTATCTTATCTTTTGCATTACTGAAGTTCTTGTCATTCAAATGGAGAAACCAGATTTATGCATACAAAAGAAAATTATTTAACTACTTCCAATACCATGGTATCAACCCTCTAGCGACTTAATAATACTGCAACACTAGTCTGCACCAAATCCTATTTTAGTGATGAGGTGAGTGAAATGGTTGACCGTATATTCATCATTTCAATTAATTAGGAAGTTCTGTCAGCTAAAATAAACTGATTGCTGATATAATCTCTGCATGGATACAAAAAACTCATCGGAAATTTCTAGACATGCGTCATCTTCGGGTTTAGACGTGATATATGGATATCTATCAAAGGTATATGCTGTATGACAGTCAGCCTCACACATTTTTTGAGGTTATCAGATGTGGTCATTGAGCATGGAACAAATGAAGACCCTGTTAGTCTCTGAACATAGATGTCTGTAATCTATCCATCACGTTAGGTGGCAAAAATGGTCACTAATAATGAGGATAGGTGCAGAGTGTTAGATGAGGAGGGGTCTGTCTGTCTGTCTCTTTTCAACATATAACTTTTCACCGATGTGCCACAGTTCAAGTCGCCACACTTCCTCCTTGTGGAACACAAAGCAAGACAAGAAAGTAGAAGAAATGCATAATAGAAACAGTAAACAGAGGAATGGTAATAAAGAAGAATAATATAGTTTCATTGGAAATCACAAGTCACAAGGAGTGGGTGCATCTGTACCAGCCATTGAGGACGATTTTGAGCCATATCACCGATTGTCTCCAGCCTTCATTGTTGTTTACCGTCCCGAGGACCCCACCCAGTCAGGAAGTCTACACCTTCCTTCATTGACCGGCGAAGCCATGTTTCGTTTTGATCACCACTAGCTCTTTTCCAACCTGACCCTATGTCAGCTAACACTGCTAGTCGGTTGAGGAAGGCGATGGCTGGGCATACGTAACACATGTCCGAGCCATCTTCATCGATGAAGCTTCACAATCCCATCCATTGACTTATGCTCTTGGCCTAATACTCAACGCCTAACCTCAATATTACTCACCCTATTATAGTGCCTAACGGGGGAGATAGAATTCAGACACCTATGGTGAAAGACAGTAATCCTTTCCATTTCTTCCACTTAAAATGGCAATGCCTTAAAATCATAAGAGAAGACAGTGCGAACTGCTACAATCTCACATGACAACTTTACATTACAAACTTTTCTAAAGGAGAATATAGAAAGCAAAGCAAAGATTTTCTTAAACTCATGACTTATTCACCACAAATACAAATAGATAGATTATTACTATAGAATATCTCAAAACAACATAATTTTTAAAAAAATAGCCTACCTGAAGCCATCGTTTCCTCCGTTCAACAGCGTCTATACTATACGCTTTACCGGTACCAGCACTTGATCGACGTTTCATTTGTGATCTAACAGTCTCTAAGTTACCGCAACAAGGGCAACCGACACCGCTGTGTGGATTTTCCCATGCAATATTTATCACCTGAGACAGTGGAATAGATTTCTTTGAGAGATCATCAGAACTCAGCAGACCAGTAGGCTGAAGGATATCTTTCCCTGCAGTTTGGCTGATACCTCTATCAAATGATTTTGACAAATTTGACGAAGTAGTAGTATTGACACCAGGATTATGAGGGGAGGTGATCACAGGAGTTGCCGTAGTAGTAGTAGTAGTGCTAGTATCACTTTTACAAGAAATTTTTAGCGTTGAATGACTTTCATCTGTACAATTATTGACTGAACCTGTACCAGGAAAAAATGTTCCACCATCATATCTATGCAGACTTAAATAAACTAGGCCAGGATGTGTTGCAGCTAGCTTAGTTCCATTGCCATGATGTATGTCCCAGTCAAGAATTAACACTTTTGAGACAATACCTTCACGGAGTAAATGCAGTGCAGCTATTGCAACAGAATTAAAATAACAAAATCCCATAGCTTGATCAGGTTCTGCATGATGACCAGGAGGGCGGACAATAGCGAATCCATTACGGAATTGACGTTTAGCTACCCTATTGACAAAAAACGGAAAAACACAGAGAGAGAATGGGATAAATACAACAAAATGGTTTCAGTATATTAAATATTCCCATAGTAAAAAGCAACAAGATGGCCGAAGAAGCATCAAAGATAGGAGTACAGGTGAACATAGATAAAAGAGAGGTGATGAAGATTCCTGACCGACACCAACAGCAACAACAGATGACAATGAATGGGAGGAACCTGGAAGAAACAACCTCCTTACCTACCTACCTACCTACCTGGGAAGCACCGTTTCAACTACAGGCGAACAGAACTGATGAGGATATCAAAGCCAGAATCGGAAAAGCAAGACAAGCTTCCATTAATCTCAAGTCTGTATGGAGATAAGTAAACAGCACTCTGAATCAAAAATAACATCCGAATTTTCAACTCCAATGTGAAGTCAGTCAGTACTACTCACTATACGGATCAGAGACTTGGCGCGTCATAAAGAGCACCTCAAACAAACTACACACCTTCATCAACAACTGTCTTCACTCAATACTACTCAAAATTAGATGGCCGGAAAAGATCAGCAACAGGTTGGGATCTCTGGCAATGAGCGAACCAACCCAGCAGGAACCGATTGTGAAACAAATAGGTAGTAAGAAATGGAGATAGATTGGCCATACGCTGAGGAAACCATCAAGTGACATCACTAGATAAGCCATTGCTCGAGTGGAACCCGAAAGGGAAGCGGCGAGTTGGTTGTCAGTGAAAGGGTGACTTGGAGGAGGTCATGTTAACAGGAGATGAAAGAGTGGGGGCAGACGTGGAGCGGGGTGAAAAAGTCGGTTCCTCCCATTCATGCTGGCTGATTGTTGTCTGTTGTTGTTGTTGTTGTGTTGTCCAGGAATTTTCATCGAATATGAGTAGGATAAATCTGGTTAGGTTAACACCTGTATACGGATGAGATTACCCTTCAATTATCACTTCATGTTGTGGTATTTGACAAGAAAAAGCCTTTTTTATAAAATTATTATACTGTAGGAAGGCAGATAATTGTATACGATGTAAACTTACAAATAAAGTAACCCCGTGATACTATATTTAGATGATTAATTGTAAAGTGATGCCAAGATGGTATGATTAATGACAGCATACAAAAATACAGACAAATGGCACACTCAACTAGCGCTCGTGACAATGCGACAAACAATGCGAATATATATATATATATATCAAAAGTGTCAATCATTTATTTTAGTCGACAGTAAAAATAGATATTTCGTAGTTTAAAAGTGTCAATCGTATTCACAAATACTTTAGGACTAAAATATCACACTTCAAACACTATCACAATTAATTAAAAAGCAAATATTCTACATGTAACATTAATACTGGTAATAACTGAAAGCCTTCAGAAAACAGCTAGAGACAGATAAAAATGCTATTTCAACTCTAGAGAAACTGGAGGACGAAACTACAAAATGACACATTCACTACAGCCAATCAAAGAAAAGTCAGAGACATAATGTAGCATTACCAAGGAATCCTGTGTGAAAGAACACGGGGACTCTCTCTGAAAGTCATGTTAAGGGACACGTGTATAGACGTTTTAGACACTAAAAAAAAGAAGAGGTGAAGTGATTTGGAAACTGCTTCAGTACTACGGAGGCGTTCAGTGCCCCAAATCTTTATCAACCTAAATCAAAAGCTATACGACGATGCTACAAGTTGAGTGGTCAACCACGGGGAACTCACTGATGCCATTTGAAGTGAAGACAAAGAGGATATTAAGACAAGGCCGCCTACAATCACCGACGATATTTCTGACTGTAGTAAATTGGTTAATGCGGCAGACTGTGATAGGGGAGCGAGAAGATGGGAATATGTTAGGCCGGTATGAAGACTTTAAAATACTTCAACTTGCCTTGATGACTGATTTCTGAAGTTACAAATTAAACGATCTACAGGCGAAAACCAACAAGTTGGCGGAAGAAGCAACAAAGAAGGAACTACTTTACCTGAACATAGAGAAGACAGAGGTGGTGAAGTTAACTAACTAAAAACAACAACAAGCTCCAATTAGCATCGACGGGAGGAATTTGTAGAAAGTCTCCACTTTCGAAATAATGTAGATTTGTAGCTCAGGTGAATGACAGAACATGGAAGTTTATTTTATACTAAAAAATGCACTGAACATGTCTAGATGGACGACGAAAACTTCGCAGTTTAGTCAGCCAGGAAATAGAACACAAGTAATTCAGTAGTCACCTCTTTCACTCATCTAAGTAGCATCGTTCCAACCACAACCAGACAGCACGGATGAAGATGTCAAAACCAGCCAGAATCGGAACAGCGAAGTAGACTTTCATTACTCTGAAAGCAATATGGAAATCTACTACACTCGGTATTAAAGAAAAATATTCAGATTTTCAACAAATTATGTCGAATCAATCGGTCCTTTCATATAATGTGTCACGGGAAGGCTTAAGATTGTTGGTAACAAAGAACTCTTACGACAAACCAAACAACTAATTGTTGGTTAGGAGACAGTTGAAGGACATCACGCGCCAGGCTTTCAGCGGAGTGGAACACAAATGAGAAAAACGAGATGGGCATGTGTCTGAAGGTAGCATGCATATGTATATTTTTATTAAAGTTTCCTTTAATTCCTAAAAGGAACACAGGGTTTCACCGCCCAGTCACCATTGAGTTCGATTCTCCGCCAACGTTTTCACCTGGCTAAACACCTGTCCACATGCTTTCATCTCCTCTCCACATGATCTCTGCCATGTCATCCTCGCACTGACGACTACTCGCCGCTTTCCATATATATATGTACCACGATTGAAAAGAGCTTCAAATGACAGTCATCCCTCTACTTCAAGTTTATCAACTTTGTAAAGGGAATTCAACAACGTCAGTTGAGAAGTGATTTGGAAACTACTTCGCTACTACCAAGGGGTGCTGCCAACAATTATACATCTCATCACCCAACAGTTGTACGACAAATCTGCACTCCAAGTAAACCACGACGGGAAACTCATGGAATCCCTCGCAGTGGAGACGGGAGTAAGACAAGCTGGCTGGCTGACTGACTACTATCTCCAATCATTTTCCTGATTGTGGGCGACAGATAGTGACGGGCAGCGAGAAGACAGGCATGAAACGGACCCACACAACGTAGAGGATACGGACTTCGCCGGTTATATGTCTGATTTCCCCAAAAATGGAAAATATGCTAGTGAATAGCAACAAGTTGGCAGAAGAAGCATCCAAAGAAGATAGGCCTTCCTTCAGGTGAACATAGAGAAAGCAGAGGTGGTGAAGATTCCTGACCAACAACAACAAAAACAGACAACAGTCAGTCAGCATAAATGGGAGGAATCTGAAGGAATCAACTTCCTTTAGCTACCTACCTGGGAAGCATTGTTTCAATTACAGGTGGACAGAACTGACGAGGATATCAAAGCAAGAATCGAAAAGGCAAGACAAGCTTTCATTACTCTCAAGTCTGTGTGGAGATAAGTCAACAGCACTCAACGTGAACAATAAGACCCAGATTTTCAACTCCAATGTGAAGTCAGTGCTACTATACTGAGCAGAGACTTGGCGCAGCATCACGAAGGCCACATCGAACAAACTACAGACCTTCATCAACAGCTGTCTTCGCTCGAAACTTCTCTCAAGATCAGATGGCCGGTCAGAAAAGATCAGCGACAGAGTGGGATCTTTGGGTACGAACCAACCAGGAACCAATTGTGCAACAAATAGGCAGGAAGAAATGGAGGTGGATTGATTGGCCATACTCTGAGAAAACAAACCATCAAGAGACATCACATGTCAGACCATCACTCGATTGGCAGGTGAGTAGGAAGCGGCGAGTTGGCCGTCAGTGCGAGGGTGACATGAAGGAGGCCGTGTGAAGAGGAGATGAAAGCATGTTAGAAGATGTGGAGCCAGGTGAAAACGTTGGCAAAGAATCGAACGCAACGGAGACGTGTAGCTGAAGGAACCAAAAGGGAACAATAATACTATAATGATATATGAGGGCTACTAGGATGTTAGTAAAAACGATGTATTTCGGATGCAATAGGTCACACCTAGAGTAGCATGAAACAATGAAAGATGCAACTTTATACGTTTGCTTAATTCTCAAGTCTATTGGCTAGCTACATATGACTATACTATGTAACAATATTTATTGTAGCAGACTAGCAAGACTTCTTCACTGAAATTGGTGAATTTAAATGTATGTTTTAGAATCGTTCAAGCAGAATTCCTTGTCCACGGAGAATGAATGATAACTATGATAACGATTACTTAAAAAAATGATATATTACCTGAAGATTGAATCAAAAGTAAAATATAACAATACGTCTGCGATAAATAAGGAAGTGTAAGTCAATTCTACACATAGGAATTTTTAAGATACCCAGGGATGAATAACCGCTGCGGTATGAAGGAAACTGATAACAGTAACATTATTTATTGGAATAGTTAGTCAGAAAACATCTATACATCATGCATTTATATATTTTTTCGTGTGATTTTAAGTTTCCTTAGCGATAGGATTGATTTTCCACAGTAGTGACAATAGCCTCAGCGCTAAACTTCTGTCTGTCTTATTCCCGGTTTAAAACAAGCCCAGAAAACTAGAAGACCAAGACGTATTCTTCAATTAACATGACACAGAAAATCGAGATGCATCGGATAAATGTTGAGGAGACCACTGAATGACGCCACGCACAAGACTATCGCTCGAGTCGAACACGAATGGGAAATGACGAGTTGGGCGTTGGCCCAGCGGTGACATGGAGGAGATCGTGTGAGGAAGAGATGACAGCCTACGGGTGACCATGGAACCAGCTAAAGAGAACTGAAGAGATCTTTTATCTTTTTAAATCTTTTCTATTATTTCAGAACTGAAGAGAATTGGACACAACGAACATGTGCCATCGAAGCCCTATGTTCCACTCGGAACCCAAGGGAACAAAAATAATAATTATTATCGTTACCCTGGGTTCCGAGTGAAACAAAAAGCTTCAACTGCACGCCTCCACTTGTTTCTGTCTTCCTTCTGCTGTACTTTTCACCTGCATCCATGTTAGCACATACTGTTTCAAATCCTCTTCACACTGTCTCCTCCATGTCACCCTTGCACTGACATCCCACTGGCCGATTCCCTTTCGGGTTCCACTCGAGCAATGGCCTGACGAGCGATGTCAGCTCGCCTAGATTACTAGCTCGCTAGTTTTCTAGCCTGTCTCAAGCCCGGATAAAGAGGGAGGGTTGGGGAGTGGTGCTAGCAACTTCACCCCCAAAATTTAACCAAAATGCTACAGAAACTTCAATGCATAAATGTATTAAAAATAATAATTATAGTAAAAATTATATATATATATATATATATATATATATATATATATATATATATATATATAGACTTAAACTTGAGTTAGAGGAATGATAATAAACTCACCGATGAGCTAAACACAACACTTGACCCACAGCTAATCGAGCAGCACGTGCCGTCTTCTTAGGATTCCATACTGTATCTGAATCTACACCGACACCACCACAGGCTAACGAGCATAATCGATTTGACAGGCTAGTATTTGTACAGGAATTTAATAATGATAATCCATGATCATTAGTCGGACAACCGAATGATAATAACGCTTCTTCTGAATCTAACGATTGAGATCTGCTAGTTCTAGTTTTAGCCTCATTTTCAGGATTCAGAGATGCGGTTTTATTCGATAAATTTGGAACACAACCAAATGCTTGAACATAATCCAGTGTATGGAATATGCGTAATTCATCCTGTATACATAAAGAAATAATAATAATGATTTACCTTATTCCAAAAACAGTACTTGTGATACAGATTGAAATTTTCCGCATTCATCACACACAATAATGCATATAATTCCCTCAAATTATAAATAAAATTAATCACACAGAAAATTTTCCACATTTACAATAGGAGTAATGACAAAAACACGCAGCATATAAAATGGAAATAATAATAATGATAACAGCTAAGGTAATAATAATAATAATACAAGTGAAAATTACCGTGGGCTTGTTTCACACAGTATTGCCAATGCGGTATAGAAATCTTAGCTTGTTTAAAAATTACTGAATATAATGTTCTCTTTACATGATGGTGATGGTGAGGGGAAAAACAAAGATTACAGCAGTCATGGAGATAAGTTGGTGTTTGTAATTATGACAGTAAAACAGAGAAGCAACAGGACCATAAATATAATAGAAATAATAATAGTAAAACTTGAAGGTGTATAAGGGTGAATGGAGGAAATTGTTTATTTACTAGATGAAAAAAGGTTAGTTAATTCTTTCCTGACACTATTTACATCACATAAAATGCATGACAAGTATGGTATCATAGAATTCTTATACTTAGACGTGCGAGCATACAGTTTCCTGAAGTTACCCCTTGTTCTACCTGAGGAGATGCAAGGTGACAGCAGCTGAGGGTAGAGCAGATGCTCCAAGTCAGACAAATCCCTTTAGCGAATTTATTGCATGAAGTCAAGTGCCTATCGACAACGACATTAACTATATGGTCCACTGGGACACCACTCACCCTACTGACCGTCTTTTGCATTCTACGAATTCTGACATAGTCCTTTTTAAGCAAACCAGGAAAGAATAAGGGTGGACAATAAAGAAGAATAGGTAGGAGGCAAGAGTTTATGAACTGTAAGAGGAGTGGTTGAGTTATACCTGAGTGTCTTAACTTCTTGATGTAAAATGTCAGGCGGAATATTTTACTGGAGATCGCTAAGACATGGGAAGTCCAGGAGAGATCAGAAGAGAGAATAAGTCCAAGATACTTAATTTCTGATTTGATTCCCATATCATTGTCGTCAATTTTATAACTGTCATGAGAATCGATGACTTCTTTTAACTCTCTTTTACATCTTAAGCTGAAATTAACAGTTTGACATTTAGAAGGATTCAGTTCAAGACCGTTAGACTTAGACCATTCACTGACTCCCGACAGAAAGCTATTTATTTTGGTACAATCTAGCTGGGAGTTAACAGCCATTCAAACCGTCAAATCATCAGTTTATTTCATCAGAGTGAGGCAAGTCATGTAAGAAGAAAGAAAAAAGAAAAGGAGAAAGGACACCGCCATGAGGGACACCAGCTTCGGTGGGCAATGAAGTGGAAGACTTCCCTTTATATACGGTGTACTGCTTTCTTTCTGAGAAATAGGAATGTAACCAGTTAACAGCCCAACATTTTGATTGACTTGCAGCAAGTTTATTTAATAAGACGTTCCTAGGGACCGAGTCAAAAGCAGATGTATAGTCTAGGAAGGCACAACAAACAAATTTAGCCCCCTTGTCTAGACTGGAAACAATGTTATGATATAAGACGGCAGCTGCATCTAAAGTGCTTCTACTGTACTTATAGGCAAATTGTTTAGGGTCATTAAAGGATTTAAGCGAAGGTTCAAGACTAAGTAAAAGTAATTTTTCCATAGTTTTCAAAAAAAGAGAGGTAATAGCAATGGTTCTAAATTTGACACATGTTCCAGTAGATAATTTAGATATAGGTACAACTTTAATGTCCTTCCAAACGGCAAGCACAATATTACCGGAAAAAGATTTGTTAAATAGATCAGTGAGAGGGTGACACAGAATATCAGAACATTTTTTAAAGATAATACTGTGTACATAATCTGGACCTAAGCTCTGGGAAGGGTTTAGAGACTTAAGGCACTTTTGAACATCATTCAGTAATAAAGTTGGCTATAGCAAGCCAACGGCTTCTATGTAGACATAAAAACAAAACAAAAAATAAGAATCAGAACAGATTTGTCTAGATCTATAGAACAGGACATTTACCCTTTTGTAGTAAAGCGTCTAAGTTGGTCAGAGTTGAATGCACTGTCGACTCCAAGTATTGTTTAATAAATACATGTATAGTGAAGAAATATATTCCAAGGTAGAAAACGGGTCGCCTAGCATAGCCTGAAATTGTTGTTGTTACTTTTTAAAGGCTGTTTTTTTCTGATTCCTTCACGTTCTCAGGGGAACATAGGGCACCTTCAAGCTAGAGGCTTGAAGTTTCTGTAGCAGTGATGGATTATTTTTACAAGATTGGGTTGCTAGCCTCATGCCCAACGTCTCTGGTTTAGCGAGGTAAAGAAGTGCGTCGGCTGGGGATCGAACCCCGACTCATGTGCATGGTCGGCAAGCGTCTTAACCGCTGTGCCTACGACGTACTCCTAAAAACTCTACAAATGTATTTATAATCAACAAAGAATTGAAATAAATTCATTTCATACTTAAACTTGCACTGTACATGCTGTCTAGATAGACTTCACAATTAAACTGACAAGCTCAGAGAACAGAACTGAAATCAAAACCAGTCAAATTATTGATAACTACGAGGTGATGAAAACACTAGCGAAGAACCGAACGCAGTGGAGACATATACGTCATCGGCGAAGTCTAGATCCTCCAAGTGATTTTTATGAGTCCATTTCATGCCTGTCTTCTCGCTGCCAGTCACTATCTGTCGCATTATCCAGTCTCCCGCCCACAATCAGGAAAATCATTGGAGATAGTAGTCAGCCAGCCAGCCAGCTTGTCTTACTCCCGTCTTCACTTCGAGGATTCCATGAGTTTCCCGTCGTGGTTTACTTGGAGTGCAGAATTGTCGTACAACTGTTGGATGATGAGATGTATAATTGTTGGCGGCACCCGTTTTTAGTAGCGAAGTAGTTTCCAAATCACTTCTCAACTGACGTTGTTTAATTCCTTTACAAAGTTGATAAACGTGAGGTAGAGAGGTGACTTCCATTCCAAGCTCTGTTCATCAACTGTGATGCGTAGTGTTGCGATTTCATGAATGCGAGACTCGTTTCTCCTGAATCCAGCCTGTTCCGATCGCAGTTTCTCATTCAGGGAGTGTTTGATTTTTCTCCAGGATGATTCAGCTTAGTATTTTGCTTGGCACAAACAGGGGCATGATGTGAGTTATTTCATAACAATAGAAAATTTCTATTTTATCCGTCAATCTTATTACAAGTGAAAATTATTTTAAAAATAAATAAATTCCCAGGAACCAGAAGACCTGCTAAAATATATGCTTTAAAAGTGAGAAGACCAAGTTTAACACCTACACTTTACACATTTTATCAGTATGCTATTAGGTCAAAATAATTCAAGCGTGTAATGATGTGAATAGCCATTAGACAGGGAATTCGCCTGGGTGGTCAGTGAATAAACAACAGACAACATGATGAATAGTGTTCACGCCAACAAACAACTCGAATGCAAGTATTGAAACAACAACAAAAAATGTCTAAGCATTGAAATATTATTCAAAAGGGTTATTTGAGTTTACTGAGATGAAATGCACAATGAATGTCCACTAGTAGGGAGGTGAAAGCTTCACGAATTAACTAATCAGCTCAGAGAACATAACCACATCAAAATCATCCTGAACTACAAATCTTCTCTATCATATCTGAATGTCCATCTTTTACTTAATAGGGAACAATATAGACAAATCGATGGTGTAGCAATGGGGTCACCACTAGGACCCATTCTAGCCAACATTTTCCTTGCGAAACTAGAAAATGGCCCTGTAAGGATGTTATTGATGAACTCGAATTTTTATCTACATGGATGATACATTTTTGATTATGAAAAATGAGGAGGAAGGAAAGAGCCTCCTGGATAAATTTAATGAGGTTCATCCTGCCAAACATTTTACTATTGAGAAAGAAAAAGACACTGGTATTTCATTTTTAGACGTCCTTATGACCAGAAAAGAGGATGGTACAATAAAAAGTGTATATAGAAAACCTACAAAAACAAGTCAGTATACTCATTTTCTCAGCTTCGTGCCCTTGAATTACAAACACAATCTGATAAAGTGCTTGGTTCACAGAGTAAGAGCAATTTGCTCAGACGAATGTCTTGATGAGGAACTAAATAATATTAAACGGTTGCTAAGTGAAAATGGTTATGCAGAAAAGTATATTGATAAGAATATGAATCTAAAATCAAAGCAGCCCAAGTTACCAACAGTTCCGAAAAAAGGCCTTATTCCTACAAATGCAGTTCCTTGAGGACAACACCAGCGAGATACCAACACAGAGCCTTAGAATTGCGGTAAAAAGAGCATTCTCTGCTGCAGAATTACGCTGTATCTTCAAAACCACTCCCCTTTTGCGTTCGGGAGTAAAAGACAAACTGCTTAATTTTGCCTCTTCTATGTGTATCTACCAATTTAACTGCTCCTGTGGAGCCAGTTACATAGGCCGTACAATTAGGCGTGTTTCTCGTCGAATTTCCGAACATCACCCTGCGTAGCTAAGCAAAGGACAAACAAAATCTATTCGCAGCGCTATTCTACCTCATCCTGTGGATACAGAACACAAGACTGACATTAACCATGCGCTTCCAGGGTCATATACCGCATACCTACGAATCTCAATTTCGCCTTAAGAGTTCGACTATTAAATATCTCTGAGTCTGGGTGTGGGGATCCATATTAACAAGACTAATTTGTGCATCCAAAAGAAGTTAATTCAGACATTATCCTTACCTTGGCCATCTAGGTTTGAATGATCCTCAACTTTTTGTGGCATTTTCCTAATTTTAGTTGATATTCTATTTACTATTATAGCTTTATTATTATAATTTAAGCATCTTTAATGAACTGTAATTCCATTGATCTTCCTTTGCAAATCGATATTATTTAAAAACAGTAATATTGTTATTGGCTACTAATCTAGAATATTTATTTATATATATATATATATATATATATAACTACTACCCCCGGACGACAACTGCTACCTTTTCGTGGTGGTCGGGCTTGAATACCGCAATGACCCAACAGGCTAAACTGGCTGGGACTCATGTCCCTGCAGGTCTTACCATGTCAGGAAGGTTGTTTAGATTAGCGGTTAGACTAAAAGCAGCTACCATGGGGTACATGGGCTCCAGAATCCAATCGGATCAAATGGTGTATGAACCCATATGAGTCACCGTTAACCATGGGAATGCAGCTCCTGACGCTGCTCTGCTGCCTTACGGATTAGACTCCAAGTCAAAGACTCGGGGGGTGGTCCCTTAATAAAACCACCTGCTTCGGTCTGGGCGCCCGGGCAGTATCTCAGCCCTCACACAAAAAATGAAGTAAACTTGTGTGGCGCATCTTTCTGGGTGCTATATTTGTACCAAGTTTTTTCTGCGTTTAAGTAAAATTATATATATACATATATATATAATTAAAAGGTTATCGAAAAGGATATTCTTCACTCGATTATTTTGTGTTTTACTGAGATCAGCAAATCACAAGATAAAATTAACAGTATAAAATTATACTGTCATTCTATTTTACAGGATCACATCAACTGCAGACCACTAATTGAAATTACAATAGATATAAAAAAAGTGAATGAAAATAATACACTTCAGTGTTTCAATGATAGTAGAGAGGAAATATTATTTTTAAAAATTAACATATCTGAAACACAATCATAGAAAAGGAGCTGGGGTGGGGTGGGTTGGGGAGCTGGAAGAGAAGAAGGCAGAAAAAAATATTGAATAAACAGTGTTAACTTACAAGTTCCCATGTATGCGTGCGTCAGTAGTTTACTGGTAGAACACTAATCAATCATGCAGGTGGTCCTGAGGTTGACCATCAGGCCAACGCATTCCTAAACCTCGATCATTAGCTGCTAGTAGGTTGAGGCTAGAGGGGAGGTTCGGTTTGAAGCTAGCAAACTTCGTCCCTTTAAAAGGAATAAAACTATTGCTAACGACACTTTAAAGCTCGACGCTTGTAGCCCTCTATATTCCACTGAGAACGCAAAGGGAATAAATGGATGGATGGATGAATGAAAGAATGAATCAAACGGTATTATGTTACATAATCGAGAAAAGTCTAGACGGCAAGACAATTTATACATTACAAACACAAAAAAGAAAACTCACTTCTGTAGCCATTCGTGCACGAATCAGACGACAAAATGCCAACAATGGTAAATGTGTAACTAATGTTTCTGCCATATCTGGTCGAGTTTTTAAAAATTGACTAAAATCATATTGTAAGTCAGAATTATCACATAATACAGTTGTTTTTAAATTTTCAATTAAATTATTCGATGCATACGGTAACATATGTAAAGGGATACGAAGAGGTATATGTACAAGCCGCTGAAGAGCAAACGTTAATCGATCTGGACATTCAGGATGAATAGTTGAATCATGAGCATGAGGACAAATACATTTATGCTCAAGCATATCTGGATCAAAGGCTATCGCAGTGATCGAACTGTCATTGGAAACGACACTAGACAGTAACAATAACAATGGAAAAAAAAGCGAAAGAGTAAATATTTAAAGCAATTAATTCCTTTTATGAATTTTCATAAAACAATTAAGAAGACATGTAATGTTAAGGCTACAGAACACATTCTGAAATGATTCCAACAACAAATAAAATCTCCAAGTATTGGTTTTGTAGGGATTTTATTTGATTGGATGAAGGATTTCATCATGAGGTGACATCAGTTAGAAAACCACTGGAAAACCTGGGAATACTGGACAGCTGTCTCGTCCTAGTTTGGGACTCTTCAGTAGTACGCACCAACACTGCGGGGTTGGAAACCGAGACCTTCTGGTTACAAGGCGAGCTTGTAGACCATTGAGCCACTGGGACTCGATACAATGGCCATCCCGTGAATTCTAACTACTGCCAACTCACGACATAGCGCGACCATTTCACAATGTATTCTTCGAAGAGTTAATGCCTAATCTTCAACCTGATGTACCCAACTGGTCACGGCTTCTGACTAGAACCTCAAGTTGACTGCCTGAATGGGACCAGACGCTGGATACAATTAATCCTGGAAATAGATGTCCTGGATTATCTATCGCAATGCACATCATAGAAATGCTCCAAAGGGTGATTTCAATAATGCCTTTAAACCCACATATAAAATAAATTTGGGAGACATTCATTGAAGCCTTGGTAATAAAACGGATTAAACTTGTTTTATGCGTTCAAAAATGATTTTCATTATTCCGTACCTGCTTTGATAATTCAATTCAGAACTAAGGTTTGAATTACTTAATAATATTTCTACCCTGTTCATCTGCTCTTTTTTTTCTTATCCCATATTCTTACTTCAACTTCCTACCTTTTTATTTGTGACCCTGCTGTGTACACCATTTAACCTATATTGTAACCATTTATGCTGTTGCCTTCTATTATTATTATTATATGCTTTAATTCCTAGAGGAACATAGGGCTTCAGCCGCCCAAGTCTCCATTGCCTTCGGTTTTCTGCCAACTATTTCACTCCACTCCAAGTCTGCCTACATGCTTTCATCTCCTCCTTACATGACCTCCTCCAAGTCACCCTTGCACTAACGACCAACTCGCCGCTTCCCTTTCTGGTTCCACTCTAGTGATGGCCTGTCTAGTGATGTCACTCACATGAAGGTTTGTTTTCTCAGATTATGGCCAGCCAATCCATCTCCATTTCTTACTACCTATTTGTTTCACAATCGGTTCCTGCTGGGTTGGTTCGCTCATTGTCAGAGATCTCAACCTGTTGCTGATCTTTTCTGGCCGGACATCTGATCTTGAGTATTGAGCGAAGACAGCTGTTGATGAAGGTGTGTAATTTGTTTGAAGTGCTCTTTATGACGCGCCAAGTCTCTGATCCGTATAGTGAGTAGTACTGACTGACTTCACATTAGAGTTGAAAATCTGGATGTTATTTTTGATTCATAGTGCTGTTGACTTATCTCCATACAGACTTGAGATTAATGAAAGCTTGTCTTGCTTTACCGATTCTGGCTTTGATATCCTCTTCAGTTCCGCCTGTAGTTGAAACGATGCTTCCCAGGTAGGTAGGTAGGTAGGTAAAGGAGGTTGTTTCTTTCAGGTTCCTCCGATTTATGCTGGCTGATTGTTGTCTGTTGTTGTTTTTGCTGTTGGTGTTGGCCAGGAATCTTCACCACCTCTGTTTTACCTATGTTCACTTGAGGGAAGTCCTATCTGTGATGCTTCTTCTGTCAACTTGTTGCTTTTCACTTGTATATCTTCCAGTTTGTGGGAAATCAGACATATATCATCGGCGAAGTCCATATCCTCCAAGTTTTTTTGTGTGGGTTCATTTTATGCCGGTTTCCCCATTGACCGTTGTCTGTCACATTATCCAATCTACCACAATCAGGAAAATCATTAGAGATAGTAGGCAACTTTGCCTTACTCCCGTCTTCACTTCGAAGGATTCTGTGAGTTTCCCATTGTGGATTACTCGTCATCGAGCATTGTCGTATAACTGTTGGATGGGATGTATAGTTGTCGATGGGACCCCACAGTAGTAGCGAAGTAGTTGCTAAATCACCTCTCGATAGACGCTGCGCTATCAGTTGCCTTTTCAAAGTCGATGAAGTTGAGCCAGGTAGAGAGGTGACTGCCATTCCAAGCTTTGTTCAATGATGATCCGTAGAGTGGCAATTTGATCAATACATGACTTGTTTCTCCTGAATCCAGCTTGTTCCGGTCGGAGTTTTTCATCCAGGTTGGCGTGTTTGATTGTCTCCAGGATGATGCGGCTTAGTATTTTGCTTGGGATGAAAAGGAGCATAATTTCGCGCCAGTTTTTGCATTGACTTAAGTCTCCTTTCTTTGGAAGTTTGAATAAGTATCCTTTCTTCCAATCTTCAGGTACTTTGCCCTCTTTCCACACATTCTCCAGCAGTGGCGTCATCAACTCCACTGTTGTCTTTTGTTGTTTTGTTGAAGGTAAATATAATATAAGAAAGGCTGTGACAAAAAAAATGTATTCATAGTTCAATACTGTCTTTGAACATAGGTTTGTCTCCGTTCTTCTATCTCCCATGTTAAGCGGTATATTAAGGTTGGGCAATATTCAGGTTAGGCTTCAGTCAATTATTATGTAAGAAGGGAAAATCAACAAACGAGGCTATGAAGTTACATCGATTAAGTGAGATGGTTAGGTCATGTGTTACGCATACATGCCCAGGCATCGCCTCCTCGACAATGGGCAATGTTAGCTGCCATAGGTGCATCACGTCGGAAAACAGTCAATGGTGGTATAACCAAAACATAGTATCAGACAATGAAATCTACAACAGTTAATTTGAATAAGAGCAGTAGAGGTATGTTGTCTCTTCACTACCACCCCCATTCTAAGTTCGAAAAATAAGGAGGAACTACCTAAAGTTGCCTCTTCTATGTGTATCTACAAGTTTGACTGCAGCTGTGGAACCACCAAGATTCGGCATACAATTAACCAAGTTCATCATCGTATTTCCGAACATCATCCGGCATAATTAAGCAAGAAACAAACAAGTTCATCTTCTACATACATCTGAAGCCATAGGAATCCACTTGAAGAATCCAAACCTGTGTTTTCAGAAGACATTCGTACAGCCACTTTCCTTACCTAGGCCATCGTTACATGAATGTATGAACCAGGCTACCAAACCTTTTACAAATTATAATCATCCAAATTATTTTGTTCGACTTTGATTGCAAGTTACCATCGTGGAGATAGTTTTATTTTCTCTAATTATCTGTTAAATAATCGACTTGATTACTTGCTTATTCCTTAATTACTCTTAATTTTTCCAATCCACTTGTTGTAACCATATCTACGCTTTAATCGTGTGTGTATTAATTTTCTTCGTTAATTATCACCCCCCCCCTTTGACATGTTGATTGATACTGACTAATTATTGTTAACAAACATATCGTCACTAGTGATTGGTTAAATGTTTTGTATTGTATTAGGAATGCTATATACATATATATTAGAGTAGAGGCAGACATGAAAATCCCTTCTGAAGAGTAAATATTTCTTCGCTCAATCCTTTTGCTTTCTAAATGGGGATTTTTGCTGTAGCAATTGGACAGCATTTCTCACTCGATTGATTGATTACGGATTGATATCAGTTAGAGAACCATTGAAAACCAGCCACAGGAGTACTGGACAGCTGTTCCATCCTAGTTCGGGAATCATCGGCGGTACGCACCCACCACCACGGTTAGAACACAGGACCTTCCGGTTGGTTACAAGGCAAGCTCGTATACCATTTAGCCACTGGGACCCAATTCAATGCCTCGTGGCCCTGGGTTTGAACCTCAGTGGGTGCGTACGCGTACTGCCGACTAGGATGAAACAGCTGTCTAGTACTCCATGTGACTGGTTTTCAATGGTTCTCTAACTGATATCAATCCGTAATCAACTCGTAAAAACGAAACTAACCCTTACAAACCAAAATATAGAAAACTTCTCACTCAAGGCTAACGACTTGCACGCCATCGCAATACAACACAACATTGAAGAACACAAAAATCAGTGATTCGGTAGATAGTTATAACCGGCAGTGGTATCCAGGATGCACATTTCGTCTTGTTTACGACTCGTCACCTAGACGTTCCTGAATTCCATAGTGAGTAATGATGTTTCAGTAAATTTTAAAAAGTTCGGTCGATATATACTACTGAATGACTGATATAGTATTTAGATAGCATTAGATTAGCCAATTGTCCTTGCTAGTCAAATCAGCAAAGTGATCTAAAACACCGGACAGTCATTTCGCTTGTCTGATGCCGAGTTCACTCATCAGCTGTCTGACTAATCTGTTTGGCTCACTTCAGCTTAGCTCAGCTCAATAAGCTGAGTCAGTTTCAATCACTCAAATTATGTCTACCCACTTTAGTGATTAATTCCACCATAAATTACTTTGTGAAATGTGAATTTGATTTATAATAGAATTGACCATTTCACTCATATAGCTAACGAGAAATCATCTGGTGATTTCAACTCAATCCGCTATTTGAGTTGAGGTGAACCGGAGACAACGCTAGGGAGCGAAATCACTGCTGAGATTACTTCAAGGATCTGGATCGCAAGTATTTTTTTCCTTCACATTCCCAATGGAACGCAAGACCTCAAGCTAGTGGCTTGAAGTTTCTGTAGCAGTGATTATTTTTACAGGATGGGGTTGCTAGCCTGCCTCATGCCCAACCTTTCCTCTTTACCAGGATTATTTCTGGCTTAGCTAGGTAAAGGAGTGCGTTGGCGGCCGGGGATCGAACCCCGGACCATGTGCATGGTCAGCGAGCGTCCTAACCACTGTGCCACCGACGCACAACATTATCAGGGCGAGTGCATGCATATAGCACACAGCCTTCTTCAAACCTTGCACAAAACCATTAGGTCGTGTACTATCCCATCGCCCTTGGCAGATCTGGCAACAAAAGTCACGAGAACACCATCACAGTATATGACAGGTTAGGGGTACCCCAAGTATTACTTGGTTAGTATATGACTGGCATATAACCATTCATATAAACAATTAATTATATTACAATCACTGTCGATAGATTAATTAATTAATTAATTATACTTTGAATGAAGATAGAATTAAGATTTTAAAAAAAACAAAAAAAAAACACTGAAAGACACCAGTCAGTATAAAACAAACACGACAACTACACTAACCTTGGATAACAAGAGGCCGTTTTTACATCTGTATCACGATTGCAATGAAGCCAATCATTCTCAGGGAGAGCAGACCAAATATCTGAAGCTAATTTATACATATTCTGTGAATTGTTGTTATTATTATCTTTCTTAGAATTATTTGAAGCGTCAATATCAGTGGTAACACTGTGATTACCATCACCACCAACACATCTCTCACTATTACAATTACCAAGAATATTAGAACCATCCTTATTATTATTATTATTATTGGAGGCTAATGATGGATGGTGTACATCAAGCGATGGATTCACTTGTGAAGTGTATACAATATTCCGTATATTAGAATTTGACAGCTGACTCTCCCAATCCATTTCATTGCTTGGTGTTGTACAACATAGAGTTGGCGACGATGTATGCATTGAAGTGTGCTGCTGATGATGATGATAATGCGATTCTAGAATATTCGATTGAGCTGAGGATCCTTGACACATTTTTACAAGTACAGATAAAGCTGAAAAATGTATATTTTTGTTTTTCAAGACCAAAAACGAATGCGAACGAGTTATCCAGACAGCCACACATGCAGTGAGAGAGAGAGAGAGATAAGGGGGAAGGGTTAAGAGACAGAAGAAAAAGTGTCATAAATGCGAACTAATAATGTCAAGTAGAATAATAGAGAAGATTTGTAGCTCAGGTGGATGATTTCAAATTAATAGTGTTCTCTGATCTGGTTGGTTTAGTTGCGGAGCTTTCGTCATTCCAGCACTGCTAGACAACATCTCTTTTCAGCGCAATATTTAGCATAAAGTGAAATGATTTAAATTTTACTTGAGTGATATATATATATATATATATATATATATATATATACTGCTGACGCTTCAGTAAAAGATTTCCGTGCCTCCTTAGAATCATCACTCAAATTATCAAAATTAAATGAGGAAGTACAATAAGAATTACGTCAATGTATTATCATACCTATACTCAAACAGAAAAGACATTATTAACAACTTAGCACTGAAGAGCAAAATGCTTTGAAGAAACTGAAGAATAGAAAAGATATAGTCATTCTACCGGCTAATAAAGGAAGAACAACAGTAATCTTGGACACAGAAGACTACATAAAGAAAGCAGAGGATTTACTCAAAGATAATAATGTATATCAACTGTTGACAAAAAACCCTATACAAACATTCGATAACAAAATCAGAACAACGTTAAATAAACTAACGAAATCAGGACAAATTACAAAACAAGATCAATGGCGAATGAAATCTAACGGACCTATTTTACCTCGATTCTATGGTAGACCAAAACTACACAAACCAAGCATTCCCTCACGAGCAGTCGTTTCGCTTCCAGGAACACCAACATGTAATCTATCTAAAGGACTTTTCCGGAAATTAAATTACCTAACAGAATCATGCTACCATTCTATCAATTTGTCAATCCAATTTTTAGAGAAAATCAAAAACGTTCAGGTAGAAGACAATGAAATAATAATGGTGTCCTTTGATGATGTCACAGCATTATATACTTCAATTAGTCCAAAGCTAGTAACAGAAACTATGCAACAATTACTTTATAGTGATGAAAACATAAAAACGCAGTGATGTTCAACTTGGATAGAACTCATAAAATTATGTCTTACAACATACTTCCACTTCAATACTCAAATATATGAACAGATAAAAGGAACACCAATTGGATCGTCCATATCAGGATTAATAGCTGAAGCCGTCATGCAAAGATTAGAATTAACAGCTCTACCTATAATTAAACCGAAAACCTGGGTACGTTACATTAATGATACATTTGTATTAATTAAGAGAGATAATTTAGAATATACCCACAAATTAATAAACAACATATTTGAAGACATTGAATTCACCACGAGAGAAGAAGAGTTACATAACGAAATCGCATTTTTAGATGTCTTAATCAGGAGAACCAACCAACACAGGAAATTTAGAAACATAAGAATATAGAAAATCAACTCACACACACAGATCAAATACTCAACTATACTAGCAATAATCCAATCAGTCACTCACAAAAGAAACTGTGTGCCGACATTGTTTAAAAGAGAGTTTAAATACAATATAGCACTCTAGAGTTGAAAAGAATGGAAGAAAAATACCTACAAAGTCTTCAAAGCAAATGGTTATCCACAAAATTTCATCAAAAAGTGTTAAAAAAATCGAATCACAACACCAACAGAGAATCATCATCAAACACCACAAGAAAATTCATCTTACCCATACATGAAAAATATCTCTGAAATAACAGCTAGAATACTGAAACCGTTTGGTATAGCACACCAGCCAGCCAACACAATCACTTCATTCGATACTGTGCGAATCGAAAGATCCAACAGAAAAAGGAGATAAAATTAATAAAACTGTAACAGGCATTACATCGGCCAAAGTGGGCATCCCCTTCAAATCAGAATCCAGGAACACAAATCAGCCGTGAAAAGATACGATATATATATATATATATATATATATATGTTCTTTCATTTCAATGCATATACACAATTATATACATCATTTTGATTGGGATAATGTCGAAATCTTAGACAGAGGAAACACCAAAGTGCAGTCAGAGAATTCCTAGAAGCCTGGTACTCTTCAAACGAACATGCAATTAACAAACACGTTAACATATAGACCAAATATACCAACTAATAAAAAATAAATCAGGTGACCAGAAAGTTTAAAATCTATCCAAGTCAATAGAAAATGATCAATACACATGTGTAAAGATGGTTACCGGCAGACTCAGTTCTCCCAGTCAAGGAAAATTTAAAATTAGTTCACTTTATGCTCAATATTGCGCTGAAAGGGATGTTGTCCACAGTGGGGGGACGATGAAAGCTCCGCAACTAAACCAACCAACTCAGAGAACACTATTATAATTGCAAATGTTAAATCTAATCATTATTAACAATTATTGTTAATATTGTGAAATATTTTTGAAAAAAAATGCAAACTGAGTTTTTGTAAAATTAGAATAACAAAAAACTGCACACATACTATCATAATCCTTAAGATATTAAATATACATCTTAATAAGATGAAGCAAGCTATTTTGAGTCATATCATCACATGTGTACAACCAATGATAGCGACATCAAAGTTGCTATAAATACAATTAGAAGTTATTTACAGTTTAGACGCAGTGATCACAAGAGAACTATATATATATATATATATATATATATATATATATATATATATATATATGCCGTTTAATCTGTAGGATTTTTCACAATGACTGACATGATAAACTGTTTGTTTTCTAAAAATTGGAACTATAGAATTTAAAAACTCCTGAATTTACATCACATTTGATTACACTTATATATTCGACTTATATTCGGCATAATATAAATTGGTACAACAACAAAGAGGAGAAGTTAGAAGGGAACAACCAACGATTGATCTGTGGCACCAAACAAAAAGAAATTGTAAATCAAATTTTCACTTTATTTCACTACCTATTATAGATTACATTTCGTCAGTCATTAAGTTCGAATTCGGTTGACAGTGGTAGTTTTTTTTGTTCATTCATTCATTACTTCCATTTTTCAAGTGTTGACAGGTTTGGCAGAGAGTTGATATCAGTTAGAGAACTACTGGAAAAGCATTTAGATAGTTGTTGGTTGGTTGGTTGTTTCGTCCTAATTTGAAACTCTTCAATGGGACGTATCAACCGCAGTTCAAACCAAGGACTTTATGGCCACAAAAACAAGTTCACAGACTATTCACCCACTGAAACCGATCATCCAACGGCTCATGAATTCTATCGTAGTCCATTAAGTCATGTCATGAGATTAGCTACTCGCAGACAACATTGGCTGACTGGATCGACTCCAAGTGAATGAATCGTCCACCAACTCCTCTTGCAACCTGGAAATTATGGGTTCAAACTCCGTAGGGTGTGTAATGCTGAAGAGGTCTAAACTGGGACGAAACAACTGACCATTAGTCCCATATTGGATAAATTTAGATGAATGTAATAACTTTATCATATTTCGAGCACAATTTATTGTTCATAATCATTATTATTTCCTTTAATTCCTAGAGGAACATAGGGCTTCAGCCAAATATCTCCATTGCCTTCTGTTTTCTGCCAATTTTTTCACTCCACTCCAAGTCTGCACACATGCTTTCATCTCCTCCTTACATGACCTCCTCCAAGTCACCCTTGCACTGACAACCAACTCGCCGCTTCCCTTTCGGGTTCCACTCGAGCAATGGCTTGTCTGGTGATGTCACTTGATGGTTTTCTCTGAGTATGACCAATCCATCTCCATTTCTTCCTGCCTATTTGTTTCACAATCGGTTCCTGCTGGGTTGGTTCGCTGACTGCCAGAGATCCCAACCTGTTGCTGATCTTTTCTGACCGGCCATCTGATCTTGAGTGGTATTGAGCAAAGACAGCTAGCTGTTGATGAAGGTCTGTAGTCTGTGTGAGATGATCTTTATGACGCACCAGGTCTCTGGTCCGTATAGTAGCATTGAATTCACATTGGAATTAAAAATCTGGATCTTAGTTTTCATGCTGAGTGCTGTTGACTTATCTTTACACAGACTTGAGAGAAATGAAAGCTTGTCTTGCTTTCCCGATGATCCTCGCTTTGATATCCTCGTCAATTCCGTCCGCCTGTAGTTGAAATGATGCTTCCCAGGTAGGTAGGTAGGTAGGTAGGTGAAGGAGGTTGTTTCTTTCAGGTTTCCCCCATTTATGCTGGCTGATTGTTGTCTGTTGTTGTTGCTGTTGGTCTTGGCCAGGAATCTTCATCACCTCTGTTTTCTCTATATTCCCCCGAGGGAAGTCCTATCTTCTCTGGATGCTTCTTCTGTCAACTTGTTGCTTTTCACTTGCATATCTTCCAGTTTGTGAGAAATCAGACATATATCATCGACGAAGTCCAGATTCTCCAAGTTCTTTTTTGTGTGGGTCTATTCTATACCTGTTTCCTCATTGCTCGGTCCGCTGTCTGTCGCATTATCCAATCTACTGCAATCAGGAAAATCATATCAATAAGCACTGACACGACTTAACAATTTGCTTCATATGTACTTTTTCTCTCTACCCTTGCTGTTCATTGCAATTTCTCAAATATACAATATAGATGTTGCCTCGTTTCGATGTTGCCTGTGTTTCATGTTGACTTGACGAACAATAATTCGGCTATTTAACCTTTATGTGTGTGTCTCTCCCTCTCTATTCTATTAGTTTTACTCTGTCTTACACTATTGTGCGATTCCACACAAATGAACGCATTGTGATAATCGGCCTTTTTTCTTTTAACTTAGCAGGGTCATTCATTCTACCTCTAGCTAAATGTCCTGATAACCTGTTCAATCTATGTAATTGACCTTATACAATTATTGCATGGTATTTGGTAAATTATATTACTTTTTCTTAATTGGATCTATCGAGTCGATAAGCCGATAAAGTTTTTGTGTCTCAGAATGATTTAGCTAATTGGTTTAAATACTACCCCTACACTAATTCCAATCTCATTAGAAATATTCCACATAGGGCTTCTGATGTCACCCCCCCCACCCCCATTTACATGACGGTACTATAGATGGGGCCTTAAATTCCTTATTATTTTCTATTATTCTCACTAATAATATTACTATTCTTATTTTAACTGATTAGAAGTGCCCATTAGAGTTTTTTTTCAAAAGAATGGTTACTGAATGAAGAATAAATATTCTTTCGATAATTTCATCATCATCATCAGGTTCTACAGTTATATACTTTGCACATAATGGTCAGTGAATTCGTGTTATTAACAACATTAATGTTGTTTAAACAACAACATCGAAACAATAGTAATAATAATATCAATGAATTACAGTGCGATAGCATCTACACAACACTACACACTGAATATCAGAAAAATTAAGGAAATACAATAATACAAATTCATGAATTTATAGTTTCCACTGAAGGCCAGCCAGGGCAGTAGTAGTGGTTAGTTGGACTTGCTTCTTCTGCAAACAGAGCATCGATTGTTTTTTAAGGCGAATCGCGATAGCCTCTGCTGTTTGGAGTATACGGTATCCTGATGGTTTCGGTAATTTATTTGATCCCCGGTAGATGATGATAGAGAAGGATTCTTCAATGCTGGCTGCCTTTGTGACTGATTTGAACCAGGTGGTCCTGATATCGAATTGTTGATGGTTTTTTACTATACCTTTACTTACACCCATACTGGTAGGTGTTGCCAAGTGAGCAAGGTAAATCAAGTTCCTAGAGCAACGACCAACATAACTCGGTTCACAAGACGAGATGAATTGGTAGATACAATTAGAAGTGGCTGGTCAAGGTTGTTCATACATTTTTGAATAAATTCTAGTGTGTAATTATTCACTAGTAGTGATTTCTTTATGTGGCTGATTTTAGTATTCCAATTAGGTTTCTGGCCCGATCAAATAAAAGCCTACCTTTATTGATTCTGTGTGTGATGAGTATTTATTAGAATGTGTCAGTTTCCTACAGACATTAATGTCTGACCCATCACTATTATTATTATTATTATAAGTTTAAAGAGAACGAATCAACATACCATTATGATAGTTCATATCTGTACTGACATCAGACACAGGAACAGACTCTTGTTCTTCAACACAATTTTCGGTCACCCGCATCTACAACACAAGTAAGAAAGAAAGAAAGAACAATGTAAACCAAGGAGTCAAATTTATATATATATATATATATATATGATAGAGAAGATTTGTAGCTCAGGTGGATGATTTTGATGTGGTTGTGTTCCCTGAGCTGGATGGTTAATTTGCAAAGCGTTCATCACCCTACTGGGTGACATCTTCAGCGCCTACTTCAATTCGATGGAGTGAGGTTTTAGATTTCTGCACGAGTTTATTAATCCTTTCTCCTGGTGACCTTGAACAAAGTTCAAGTCAAAGAAACAACCATCCAGCTCAGAGAACACAACCACGTCAATATATATATATATATATATATATATATATATAACTATTAGGAACGCGCTGGTAGTTCAGAAAGTAGAATGCTTGCCAACCATGAGCGTGGTCCGTGGTTCGATTCCCGACCAGCAAACACATGTACTTTCCCTAGCCAGTTTGTAGGGTGGACAGAGAGAGGGAAGGTTGAATTTGAGACTAGCAACCCTATCCCGTGAAAAACATTAGTGGTACTGGAACTTCAAAGCTGAAGCTTGAAGACCTATGTTCGACTCGGAACGCAAAAGGAATAAAATAATTCTGTCTGTCTGTTTTCGACATAGAACTTTGCACAAATGTGCGGAAGTTCAAGTCGCCACATTCCGTGTAGCACGCGAAGCAAGAGAAGAAAGTACAAGAAAAGCATAATAGAAACAGTGAGCAGAGGTGTGAGACAAAGGAGGAGTAATAAAGAAATACAAAACAGTTTCATTGAAGATCATAAGTCACAGGGAGTGGATGCATCTGCACCACTGAGAACGATTTTGAGCCATGTCACCAATTGTTTCCAACCATAGATTTTTACCGTCCCGAGGACCCCAGCCTGGAAGTCTACACCTTCCTACGTGGCTTAGACCAACTGTTGTGGATTTCATTGACTGATGCCAAGTTTTTGTTTGACCGCCGCTAGCTTTTTTCCAGCCTGACCCTATATCCGCTAACATTGCTCGTCGAGGGAGGCGATGGCTTGGCATACGTAACACATATCTATTAGATAAAACAAAAAAGTGTCTAGTAGACAGTTTGCGTGACTCCACTTCTGAGATGGAATTTTTAGTCGTTAATTTTATCCCTTTAAGAGGAAATATACAATGACCAATTGAGATAAATGCAGCACAACAAAATAGAATCATTTGCTCATGATGAAATCATGATCACAGTAAGATCTTCTGCAGACGAACACTTGAAAAATACAGGCAATAATAATTAACAATAAAGCACTCCAACCCATAAACCGAAAATTGGAAGATATGCAAGTGAAAAGCAACAAGTTGACAGAAGAAGCATCCAGAGAAGACAGGACTTCCTCGGGGGAACATAGAGAAAACAGAGGTGATGAAGATTCCTGACCAACACCAACAGGAACAACAAAAACAGACAACAATCAGCCAGCATAAATGGGAGGAACCTGGAAGAAACAACCTCCTTTATCTACCTACCTACCTGGGAAGCATCATTTCAACTACAGGCGGACGGAATCGACGAGGATATCAAAGCGAAGATCATCGGGAAAGCAAGACAAGCTTTCATTACTCTCAAGTATATGTGTAGATCAACAGCACTCAGCATCAAAAATAACATCCGGATTTTCAACTTTAATATGAGGTCAGCGCTGCTATACGGATCATAGACTTGGCACATCATAAAGAGCACCCCAAACAAACTACAGACCTTCATCAACAGCTAGCTGTCGTCGCTCAATACTCAAGATCAAGTGGCCGGCCAGAAAGGATCAGCAATAGTGACCTCTGGAAATGAGCGGACCAACCCAACAGGAACCGATTGTGAAACAAAGAGGCAGGAAGAAATGGAGGTGGATTGGCCATCCTCTGAGAAAGCAAACCATCAAGTGACATCACTAGACAAGCAATCACCCGAGTGAAACCCGAAAGGGAAGCGGCAAGTTGGTCATCAGTGCAAGGTGACTAGAAGGAGGTAATGTGAAGAAGAGATGAAAGCGTGTTGGCAGACGTGGAGCGAGGTGATAAAAACGTTAGCGGAGAACCGAACGCAATGGAAACGCGCGACTGAAACCCTATGTTCCTCTAGGAATTAAAGGAAATAATAATAATAACCCTTATCGTAGCCTTAATCCTAACGCGAATACTTATGTTAACACTAACATGTTATCAAGCCGTTGTTTAAACAGTACTTAAAAACTGAATCAGAATGAAGTTTGCACCTCAATTCGTGTTCACCTTTCATACTGACGCTTTCATAACGGTAGATTCTGTAGTCTAACGATGGACATGCATTCAAAGTGATTGGTGCTTTCGCACTGTATAATCGCCAACATAATTTCCACAATAAAGCTTGTATTATTAGTTAATTATTAGTAGTTAAGATATACCCATGACTTTATTGATGATCGTAGACAGACAGATTCTCAATAATAGATTAATAGGTGGATAATACTGCAACCAAAAATGTGACTTTTTCTCTATGTTGAAAATATGTTTTGAAACGTCTAGACTGCAATCATTGTGATGGGTAAAAACTAGATTTTACCTGTCTGGTGTACAAAAAGAAAGAGAGTACTGACAAAAAAGGAAAAAAAAATCAAGTGTGCCTTGATGAAGACAACTATTTCCCACTACTGCCAGACTGATTCCTCTCTCTGCAACAACACAATATTCTCATGAGTTAATTCAGTGAAAAGTCACGCATCAACTCGAACTGTATTTGCAGATTCCCCTACACTTACGGTGCAGCAAGTCGCCCAGACGAAGGATTGAAAGGAGAATGCCAGCTTGATTTTCTAAAATACATCATCTCTAAAAGTATTCGTATGAAAGAAAGATAGCAAAGTGCTTCCTCAAATGCAAATAATCAGACGCCTAATTGATACGGGCATACAACTGCAGTGGTTATTTAGCTGATTGAGAATGTAAAGGAACTAGAGACGACTTTAAATTCATATTTTAATTTCTATAATCAGGCAATATACTGGATACATTCATATAAGTAGTACGCCAAATAGATATGCATCAAAACACGCACATACACACACACACGTATGAGGACAAAAAAGAGCGTACACACTAATGGAATCAAAAGAAAACAGATACGTACATACACACACTCTCTTTAGCTCTCTCTCACTCACACACATACAAACTAAGCGAAAGGATTAGCATTGATTCTCTTTATCTGTCTTCTTTTCAACCCTTTATGTATAACATATGCATGTTTAGGTCTAATCAAAACATTCATATTGTTGTTATTGTTGTCTATTGTGGAACAAAGCCAACGTTTTATTTAGACCCCTAGACAAATTTCAATTCTGTCTTCTATTAATTGAAGAAATAAAATAAATAAAACAAAAATAGAATAAAGTAAAATAATATAGACACAACGAAAACAAGGTATAATGTTATACATACTATGCTGCTATGCTATACCACTCTATATTCATTAAAAATATACCCTTGAAATAGGAATCACTGAGTGTTGAACGGTATGCTCGATAACTCAGTTGAAAAAAAGTAGATAAGCCTACTGGTCATGTCAACTCCGACTACAGTGACCGATTCATTTGCAGTTGCTGCAGCAAGTTACATAGGAAGCATAGAGAGGAGAGCTTCTAGTAGATTTTTCCCCAACGCGTTGATCTCTGACAAAATTTCAGCACGGATACAGAGGCCTAGCTACGCATATGCCAGTTTATGCCATCTCTGGCTTAGTAGATGTGATATCCGGCTGGCTATCAACCAAAAAGCGAGTGTAAAGCAGTCCGCTCCGTCCTCCTTTATGGCCGTGAGACCTGGTTGTTGAAAAAGGAGGAAGTCAAAAGATTAGCTTTGATCACAAGTACCTGCGCTCTATCTCCCGTGTGAAGTGGTATAATAAGGTGAGCAGCATTGAGGTTAGGCTTCGGTATAGCGCTAAGTAGGTGGAAAGGGAAATCAATCGATGAGGCTGTGAAGCTACATCGAATCAGATGGTTAGGACATGTGTTACGTAAGCCTAGTCATCGCCTTCCTCGAATGACTGGCAATGCTGCTGACATAGAATCAAGCTGGAAAAGAGATAGCTAGCGGCGGTCAAACCAAAACATGGCTTCACCAGTCAATGAGATCCACAACAGTTAGCTTAAACCAGCCAGCCACGTAGGAAGGTGAAGACTTCCTGACTGACTGGTTGGGGTCCTCGGGACGGTAAAAACCAATGAAGACTGGGGACAATTGGTGATATGGCTCAAAATCGTTCTCAATGACTGGTGAAGATGCATCCACTCCCCGTGACTTATAATACCCAATTAAACTATATTGTTCTTCGTTATTACTATTCCTTCGTCTCACACCTCTGTTTACTGTCTCTATTATGCATTTCTCTTTACTTACTTCTCTTGCTTTGTGTGCTACATAGAGGAGGGAGTGTGGCGACTTGAACTGGTGCACATATGTGCAAGTTCTATGTCGAAAACAGACAGACAGACTTCTAGATTTTATGAGTATATCTTTAAAAGTCTCAGTTTTTGAAAGGTAGCAAAGTATATTCTCAAGTGTAATTCTCAGAGACACCTAAGTGACACAGGACATAGAATGAAAATTAGTCAGGCTTTCAAAATAATTAATCAATACTATCACAGAGACAATTATAGTTACTTTTTAGTTCACGGAAGCTATTGCTATCAAACGACTTCGAGCCAATACCTTTGTGTATTACAGAAAGATAGCCTGCCTAATCTCTCACTACCCCACCTGGTAACTGTAAAATTCTTTGGTCAGTGTGTAGTTTTGTGTTTTTTCTGTTCAGCTGCATAACACATTCCATCTAATTTTGATTTTCACTAACTGAGTTGAAATCACCAATGAAGTTTTCAAATCTACCATACTGTTTTTTGTTTATGTCATAATTTGACTCTACTATTCAGCCTCCCACTCCACACACACACACACACACACATCCTCAACTCTCCATCATAAAATGCATAAATTCAT